TAATGACACTGTAGCCTCTACTCAAACAGGTATTCAAAATCCTGTACAGGTAAACCCCATGCTCCCAACCCTTCTATCAGATGAAAGTGGGGGAACAGATGTACCGACTGGAAATACTGGGGCACTGTACTGCACTTGCAGAGGACCTTATACGGGCGAGTTTATGATCTCTTGTGACGAGTCCAGCGAGTGGTTCAATGGCAGGTGTGTGGAAATTTCTCCTTAAGAAGCTGAGGAGTGGGAGACTCAGGACTACATCTGCTTGGGTTGTAGGGGCCCGTAAAGTAAACTGGACCCGCCAAAAGCTAGACTGAACCCAACCGGACTGCGGAGGTCAGCCCGTAGGAAGGGTTCAGAATAAAGTGCTGTTGTATATAGGGAGGCATTAACCATTAACATATTGATAATAATTATTTAGGGTTGCTGTTGTATATATGGAGGCATTAAGTTATACTGTTCATGATTATTTAGTTAAATTATGGTCATGTGTATATGGCTGGGCCAGATGTCAGTGTGTTTGGCCCTTAAAATGTTTTATTTTTGAATTTGAAGGAAGTAATGTCAAGTGGTGAAGGAAGTACTGAAGGCAGCCCGGAGAGGAGCTGGGCTGCAGACTCAAAGAGAGGTGAGGACCGAACCCCCCACCCCCCCCCCCCCACCCCCCCAGAGGACGACACCAAGATAGGGTCCCCTGAGTGGTGGTTGAGAGATAGAGAGATACCCCGGACCCAGATGTTCGAATAATTGGTCATGTAGGGGAAGGGGACCAAACAGATGAAAAAAAGGTACCAGTTGAAGCTACTGTCCCATTTGGGGATGACGGGGCACCATCCCAGGAGTCAGAAAAGATAGGAGTGGCATGGGTTCAGGGGCGGTGGGCTGGCAGAGTCCGAGGCCCAGGTATTGAAGCCTTAACTCTCGGGATAGGGCCCAGTCAGGGAATAGGGGTGGATCTGTTAGGGACTCCAGTTGAGGAGAGAGCCGATGTTGCGCTTCCAGGAGCACTCCAGGGCCGCATTCCCGACTTCCAGGGGCACCCTATTGAGCATTCCATCTGACAGGGATGCTCACAGCGCGCCTCCACTGGGGAGGGGGTGCAGACCCAAAGAAACAACCCAGAAGAGAAAGAGGCGGATGGTCAAACAGACGGATCGCATGAGAGAGGAGGCCGCCCGGTTGTAAAGAGTACTCAGAAGGGTGCAAAAGCAGAGGACCCCCCCCCCCCCACCCCCAAGCCGGGAAGCACAAGAAGACAGGAGACGGGGTGTTTGAGCAGAGGACCCCCCGATATGGCGCAAGAAGACAGAAGACGGGGGTGTCTGAGCAGAGGACCCCCCGATATGGCGCAAGAAGACAGGAGACGGGGATGTCTGAGCAGAGGACCCCCCCCCCCCCCCATACGGCAGCTACGACAAACAGTCGAAAGTAGAGGCCTACAGGAGGGATTGAGGTGGAGAGAGCAACCTCCCCACATTGCAAGGGTGTCCAATCCAGGGGTGCCCTATTAAAGATCCTCTGAAGTCTCCTTCAGACCCCCCCCCCCCTCCCCCCCCGGGAAGAAGTTGTAGCTGGACATGCCGTTTGCAGTTGGGCCCCACCAAGTGCATTTGACGCACACTTTCACCTGGACCGGGGATGGAGGCAATTGACGATGGCAGTAAGGACGGACCGGCGACGGTTCGTTGAGATGAGCCTTCCCCACCTAGACACCCAGTCGACCTTGTGGGAGGAGTTATGGTCCATTGCGATCCGGGACCATGACCAGCGGTCAGGACGTTAAGGGATCCCCCAAAGGGATCACACTGGGTGACCGCTATCGGCATCCATCCCAAGAAAGCCCAACAGCTAGATGACAATACATTTGGGCACATGGAGCAGTTGGTGGGGTCACCAGGGGTGAGGACTGTTGGGGAGGTCGGGGTGGACCCATCTCAGAGGCAACTAGGCACGTAAAGGTGTGTCCTTAATCTGTGCAAGGGAAGGCCAGAGGTTTCCCCTAATTTTGCACATCAGAGGGGCACCTGAGGACCGCCATAGTGCGGAGGCACACCTGAAATGTCTCACCACTGTAAGGGATGGGGTAGACAGCCAGCAGGGGGTCTGGGGGTGGTCCAGGAGGCTAAACAATGGAGGGCTACATTCCCGCATGCTTACTTTGGCTTTACGGCAGCAGTGAATAAATTTGACCGGGAACTGTGGGGAAATGGTATCGTCCCTCCCCCTGTCAATCATATTGCTTGAAAGTGATGCCCCTATTTTAGGCCTCCATGGGTGCCCAATACTAGTCACGGCCATCCCCAATATATTGCTGATGTAGCAATAGGGCTGCTCACCTTCGTGACCGGGGACACCCTCAGGGCTTTGTTGGAAACAACCACCAGCAATGCCCAAACCCTGTATAGGGTTTAGGAGCACATAAAAAAAATTGAATAGCAGAATGTACATAACTGTAAATATGTTAAATGTTATAAGTTTAGTTAAATACCCACCAGGGAGGAGGGGAATGTAAAGAAAAACTAAAATATTGTTTTATTGTCACTAGGGGGCATCACGCATAGTGGGTAAGGAGGGATGGGATTGCTGACACAAGGAGCTGGCTTTCCGCACTTTTTAGGGGTCCACTGAAGTCAGGGGACCCCAGTATACTAAAATTTAATCTTTTTGGACAATATGAATGAAATTGATGGAGTTTCTAAAAGACAAAACGGGGGGGGGGGGGGTATTGGTGTTTGGTTTTAAGCCAACCAGAAATCAGTAATCCCATGATACACTCTCTCTCTTTCCGGTTTATACTGATCATACAGACGTACCAAATAATCCTGACAGAATCCTGTGTATTCACAGAATATACAAACCAGTCAAGAAGTAAAACGTAACTGTACTTAACATAGGCCATTACAATAATATATATAAATATAAAATGTCTGAATAATAGCCAACGATAAATCTTACGGGGCGATGGATCATATAATTATGATACAATACACTACAAAAGCCCGACCTCCCCGTAAGTCGTCATTTGAGATCTCCTGGGCACGCCAAAGCTGATCTCAAAAACCTTACCATCACTATTATAGACCACAACGAGGGTTGGTCAAGGGCCGACAGACTTGCTCGGGAAGTTTTTGGATAAGAAATTTAAGGACAGTTTCCCCAGAGGGCATTAATGAAAAAACATACAATGAGTCCCTACCATCACTTGTTTCCAGTAACTCGGGCTTCAGTACATGACTTTCACAGTTTAAAGGAATTTATTCCTCCTCCCAAACATCAATATTGAAAAAATTTACCAGCGTATTGATTCGTGATAATTTGTATAACGATCAAGATTATTATTTCAGTTTGACTACTACATGTCAAGATAAGAATCATTTGACATCTCAATGATGAAGGATATTAGTTATCCGAAATATTTAACATTTGTTCATGTTTTTTTTGTTGTTTTTTTTTTGATGATGTTGTACCCTTTTAAACTTGCTTATTATATATATATAATTGAAAAATATACATATATTCCATCTACATCAAAGGATAAAATCATACGAGAAAATGCATTTTATGAATAACGAAAGCTATATTTTTGGACCCTCGTTGGCCTAGTGGTCTAGATTGTGAATGACAAAGCCGGCGGATTTTCCACGATGTCACAGAATCATGGGGTCGTAACCTGCTAAGGAAGACACAATTGGCTAACACAAATTTCAGATCTTAAATTGTTTGGCTAAAAGAGAGGGTAAAATGATTGTCATTATTAAGCCCCTGAAATTGCAAAATTAGTAAAACTATCCAGTCTTACAAAATAATGTGTATTTTATTGATATTTTAAAAAGTATATATATATGGGACTATTTATATCTTAGAAGTGTTATCTTTGATTTCACTATGGTGTCATAAAGATGTCGTAGATGACAATTCAACACGCGATGGCCATAATACAGACAGTTTTTGAACAATATAGATATGAGCCAATGTTGTATCCAAAACGATATTTTATATTCACATTAAAATCTTGGTAAAATACATTCCTGTATCCCAAAAAAAATCGTTTGGGTAAAGCCTTGGCTAATATCTAAAAATGAAAGACAAAATTGGCAGTGTGTTCGGTTTTGTACTAATCATGTGATGTCTTAAAGCAAACTAATGATGTTCTTTGGTAGATTCGTGATACTTTTTTAATGCAAATGCAAGGGGGCAAATAAGTGGTATTATCATAACTTCTTCTTTCAGACGAAGTTTACTGCAATATGCTGATGAAACAGAAATAAATTTTAACATGATATTGAATTATCTTCTGTAATTATATATGAAACTGACAAATCACAATGCGCCTCTTACGAGCAGGGCATTCTTTTGAAAATCAAATTAAAAATTATTACCGGAACTGAAACACACAAGGTAGAAAATATAGAGAGGTTTTGGACGCACCAAAAACGTACTCTTTAATATGATGGACTTAGTGAGAGAGGAGAAATATAGTCTTATCATTAACCAAAATAACAAATCTTCTGTATGTTTTCAACTGTAAGATTAACTGCAAATATTATTAACATCAGACATCAACCTAAAGCAGGAAAGATATACGCATGAAAAGCTAGTTTGTCAAGCAAAATACTGTGTGAACAGAACAAAAATTGTTATTACACTAAAAATAAGAGTGTTAGACATTTATATATTGATTAAATTTAGATACCGCATTAGCTTATTTTCAACTGATCCACACCTAGATATAATGAATGTTGATTGTAACTTTTTTTAGACCATTTGTCTTCTTCGTATAGTATTATGTTTGTCAGTATAGTTTAACACGTCTTTGAACTTCGTTTTAAATTCAAATGCTTTGTTTACACAGCTAAGGATGAGTTTCATAAAAGAATTAGAACTAAAATCAAAATTGTTATTTGAATTGTTTTTATTTAATTTGGTAATCTAGTATTCAGAATGATAACAGAATTTGTTTATTTCAACAGCTGCATAAGCCTCCCAAACAATATGATACTTACCAAACATTTGCATTTATGAATGCGACTTAACCTTTCTCTAAGTTTGTTGAGACTTTTATCTCTTGGAGATACTATTCCAAACAATATTGCTGATTTTTCCTTAATATATTCATGAATACTGTTCTTTGAACTAGCACCATCGTGTCTGTATCTGATATAAGATAGAGATATGTACATCATAGATATGATGAAGTTAAACAAACATTACGCATATGTAACATCAGTAAATTACTGCCGCCTTAATATTATGCGTTTAAAATACTGACAACTAAATCTTATGACTCCATTAACATGTCAAGAACGTGATTTCTATCTTTTTGCTCGTATTTCTTTAGCAAAATTATTCAAATAACCACTGTGGCTACAGAAACTAGCTTCTTGTTGTAGTGAGCACATTGTGATCCTGATTTCTAAATTGTGGGCGGTCTTTGCTTTGATTTCCTCGTGCAAGTCATAAAAAAGAGAGGCGAAAGATACCAGTAAGGACATTCAAACTCATAAGTCGAAAATTAACTGACAACGCTATGGCTAAAAAGAAAAAGACTGTTAAACAGACAAATAATAGTACACAAAACACAACATAGAAAACTAAAGACTAAGCAACACGAACCCCACCAAAAACTGGGGGTGATCTCAGGTGCTCCGGAAGGGTAAGCAGATCCTGATCCACATGTGACAACCGTCGTGTTGCTCATGTCAGTACAAACCCGGTAATAAGTCAAATTCGGTGGATCACATTCGGGAAAAGGGGACTGGATTTTAGTTAAGATATTAGGAACATATCTACTATCATCTGTGAAACGGATATTCCATAACGGCCAACCAACTCTTGATGGCGTCCGTAAAACCTACGAAGGGATGATTTCAACTTCACCATTTGGAACTCTTGGTTTAATAGCGCCCTTGTGAGCAGCAACCTTCTTTCAAGGAAATCATGATAGGAAATACAAGCCCCTGAATATCGTATCAATTGGGCGATATATATTCCGTATGCAGACGCTGCTGGAATGTTGCTACATAGAAATTGAAAGTTCACAATTGGGAAGCTGAAATCATCTCTTTTGTCGTAAAGTTTTGTTTTCAATCGACCTTTATGGTCAATTTCTAGATGTAATTTAAGATATGAGGCAGACTTGACTGTATTTGTCGTATCTTTTATCTCAAGTTCGATGGGATAGATGCGTTCAACATAGTCACCAAATTCTGAATTATTTAGTGAGAAAACATCATCTAAATAGCGGAAAGTAAAGTTAAAGGATACTGCTAACTTCTTTTCTTTCTTCCTAAGATGTTCCTTTATGAAGTAATCCTGTTTATAACCTATGCTACTGTACAAGATAATTTCTTTTTTGATTTTAATTTAATTTTTTTCGACATGTCCTTCAGATAGATGAATGAAAAGGGGATATTTTGTGAGCACGTTTAACTGTTTAACCACAGCGCATTTTACCTTTACAAAGACATCGTGTTATCTTGATCATGTCTTCGTTTTTGTTTATATTATATATTATCTGGATCTCATATTTTGAAACAGCCATTTTAAACTCAACAGCTCTTTAAAGAGTGAACAATACATAATTAAGTCATGTTCAGTCTTTCAGTCAATTTTAAGACTTATCCACTGTGGTAAATTCAGAACTGTTTAAATATTCGCTTCCAGTCAATTGAGATCTGTTCATTGTATGTTGAGACTGGTCAGAAGACGTTATTTATCTGTACAAAACAACAACATAATGAATTTTATAAAAAAGGTATTGAAGAGCACTGAATTGACTGCAAAGCAAAAGTCCGAACAGAAGTAGGGTTCGTGTTGTTTTGTTTTTTGTTTTTTTTTTGTTTTTTTGTTTTGTAGAAGACTGTTTGTTATATGTCTTTTGATCGTTTTTCTTCTTTATTTTTTTCATGGCTTCGTGAGTTTGGATATTCCTTTGGTGTATTCCGCCTCAATTGCACCGAATGTTCAAATTCGTCAGAATGTCGCAATAAGGAATGCGACACAATTGGTAAATTTATAAATTGGACGAATATCTTGATATCTGAAGATCTTTAATCGCGAAATATGTAGCTAATGAGTTGAGACAGAGACACGTCGTATCGGTCATCAAATTCATGATGGCAACTGTTAATTTAACTTAGGGTCGATTTAAGTCCCAAAAAAATTTGTTGAAACAGTTCTTGTGTCAGGAACACATTCCTGCTACTGAAATTCTGTACGTTGATATCGATAAGATATGTGTTTTCCGACGCAAAGTCTTTTCATGCTAAGTTAGATTTATACGACTGATATCGATATGAAAATAAGTCTTTAATTTCTGTCAACAGCAACTAATGAAAATGTTTTATTAAATCTATTTTCCAAAGAAATTATCGTGTAAGGGAAAGAAAAGCGTACATATGAAACCTGTACAACTGAAATCACGTAACGGCTATAGAATGTTCAATACATGTAACTATGAGTCGTTCCTATAATTTGCTACGGAAAGAGCAACTGGAAGATTTTTTTTGCGCTGCAAATAAGCATATGTACTACTTGCTAAATTTTTTTGACATCTAATTTTATTTCTCCTGGGAGTTTCGATTTATTTTTTTACAGGCAAAAATTTTACATATTGCTAACAACTATAACAAACGGCTAAACACATCAAATAACTATGATATAATAAATATCTTACTAGAAAATTTCATTCAATTAAAAAAGAGGGACGAAAGATACCAGAGGGACAGTCAAACTCATAGATCGAAAACAAACTGACAACGCCATGGCCAAAAATAAAAAGACAAACAGACAAATAATAGTACAGATGACACAACACAGAAAACTAAAGACTAAGCAACACGAACCCCACCAAAAACTGGGGGTGATCTCAGGTGAACCGGAAGGGTGAGCAGATCCTGCTCCACATGTGGCAACCGTCGTGCTGCTTATGTTATTACAAATCCGGTAACGAGTCTAATTCGGTAGGTAATTAAACTATTAATGATGAACTATTTTTCTTGATGCTTTCCTCTTCTTTGTATTTATTATCTTTTTATTTCATTAAATAAATAATTATTATTCGTACTATACTTTAATCCTTGTATTAATATTAAAGTAAAATAAGTATTTTATTATCTTAACGTAGAATAATTATGAATTATTTGACATCGACCGTAAAAATATCATAGAATAGTCCCTAGACAATCTTGATTATGACTATCCTAGTTCAGCCTTTATATACTACCAAGGGCGCATCCTGGGTGCTCTTTTTCTAGTCCAAAAGTTTCTATTTAGATATATCATGAGACGTGTCTTAGGAGATAACATAAACGGTACCAATTGTTATGCACAAGAAATATGATCTGTTTTTGTTTTATGAAAATCATAATAAATCAAAAAGTAAAAAAAAATGAAAAAACATTTTTGATCGCACAAATTCTCATTCAGACCTCCTTTTATTAGGCAATACAATTGCGTCAAGTGATATTTATTTATACCAACATTTAACAAATGTACCGTCAGTTAATCAATTATTCTGCTTAGCAATATATATATATATATATATGACCAGGTGCTTGCTCAGTCCCTGAAAAAAAATCCTTGCTCTTTATATTCGATTTTATCATGGAGACAAACGGAGCAGCTGATAAGACACTTAATTGACCCTCCCTTCCACGACTGTTATATAAAGCTGCACCTAAGACTACGAACAAACATTTTAAGTGACATATAGAAATGTGGCTGTGTTAAACAGCACTCAACTCCGCACTTTTTCCGGATCACTGCAACAATTAGATATCAATAATCCTTTAACTGAACTGAAATAAATAAAACAGGTATGCAACAAATATACAAGTATAAATATAACTGCATAACATTCTAATTTGTACTCACAGTTACTGAAAAAAGCTAGAAATACTTTTCTTTTTGATACAGAAACCACGTCTTCTTTGATAAATAAAGGCAACAGTAATATACCGCTGTTCAAAAGTCATAAATCGATTGAGAGAAAACAAATCCGGGTTACAAACTATTAAAAACCGATGGAAACAAAAAATAATAAAATGTATATGTATAGTGTACTTTTTTTCAACACAAAGACGTGTTTCATGGATAACCTATATCTTGTACCACCAAGATAAAACGTTTGGAAGACCAAATAAGTATAAATGCTGTTAAGGCATCTAAAACAGCAGACTTTAAGAATTAAGTATTAAAGGGATTGACTTACTCCTCTATAAAACCGGCAACAAAATCCGCTGCTTTCCCAGATCCTTTCAGCAATAGAATTGGTAGATTAATTTCAAGAACTTGAACTATAGCGTCTATTGTATCTAAGTCTCCTTCAGCGACAACTGTTAGAACTGGTAATCTCCAGATAACTGTAATAAATAAATAAATTTGGAGACTAATTGTTGAATTTAAATGATAAAGCGTATTTTGAAATATTCTCGAATTATTCGGTGTTGAGTTCATTCAGTGAAAGTTGCACTTCCTTAGCGAAGAGAAAAACATTTTGAGGTGATCTGATTTAAGTTATATTTGCTTTGCAATATACAGTTTTGAGAGCTAAAATGATGAAAAATATATATAAGGCTGAAACTATTTCATTTTTTAGTTTTGGATGAAATCATTCTTAAAGAGATCCGACCGAGAAAAACAATAATTATTATCAGTATGAAAACTGATTTCATAATTTGTTCCACAAAATAATTATGAGTATAGCAGGAGGCAAGGTGTAACTTATATGCCCCATTAAATTTGACACTTGCTGTGCACTTTTCGAAATTTGTGGTTCTTAAAGTTTGTATTTCAACTGTTTTAATCTGAACGTCACAAGTGTATGTTATGTAGACGAAACGCATGTCTGACGTAAAAATTATAGGCCTAGTATCTTTGGTCAGCTTTTACTCAGAACTCTTATGACGAAGAGATAATCAATTAAGCTTAGATTCAGTTGCACCTCTGTTAGTCATTCAACGAACAAAATCTTTACCCGGTACTATCGATGATTAGCATACACAAAATCGGTTCTTAAATTTGAAAACAAAATTGCAATATTATGTTTAAAATATGTAAATGTCAAAAGTTTTATTAATCAAAAGAAAATTAAAGCTCTGCTGGAAATAAATTCTTACATTGGAAATTGGGTTAAAATATGCTAAATATTAAAGAGGACAAAACACTAATTTGTACTGTACTTTCAGAGTGACTATAATAAAAATGAAGTCTGTGCTTGCATTCAAAGGTGGTTTTTAATAATATAAATCAAATACAAATAAGTATACAAAATGTAAATATGCAAACACGCATAAAGAAACAGTTATGTTAAACTATATGTCATATTAAAACTAAACACCACAATCACCTATAAAAGGTTAAAATAAATTTCTGAAAATTACAACAACAAAAAAAAGGCAAACAACCTTTCACTAACGTTGCAAACTAAGACATTTCAAGAAAAAAACATATCACATATACATACATATGTAATATGCAAATAAAGATCCTTAATAGGGTGGGATAAAAACGTGGTTTCTTTATATATTATGTGCTAAGCTTATCTCTTATAAGAAAGAGCTAAAGTGATGCACCTAAAACATGGTGGACGCCCCGAACAATAAAACAAAATGACTAGCCATTTTTAACCAATTTTAGAAAGAAAATTTAGTTTTTTACCACAGTTTTCTCGAATATCCTTCAACAGTGTACACTGTAATTTTTGTTCTTTCACCAAAGCAGAAACTTAAGATAAAAACAATTTAAATCTCTTACTTTTATTATGTTTTTACAAACAAATAAAATGTTTGACTAGAAATGAGCTTCAAAGCTAGATTTAATGCATTATTATTAAATCAGTTAGGCCGTGGCCGTTAACAAGACACCATTTTTTACAAAAGCGTGGAAAACATGCAATTAATGTAAAGACAATTAGCCTATTTCATAATGTTTAGAGTTTGGTTTTCTAGATCAGGTTGCAATGTAAATTCCATCAGTTAAACAATTTAGAAATAAAGAAAACAAACAATAATTGATCACATAAAAGAGTAAATCTTCTCTGACAATCATAGACATGGTAAAATGGGATAAAATCGTAACAGTCTAAGACTGAATAATGACTCTGCGTTATTTGTATAGTAAATAATTATCATTTTATTAATGGCAAATGAATAGATATGGTTAGCCCTCACACTTTTTATGTATGCAGAAAAATATGTGAACTCTCATTTCTATATCAGGCGTTGGCATTCCGTAAATATCACACGAATTATGATGTATCTAATCGCTTCGTATTTCTTAGTATTAACATTTGTGTAATCTACTTACGATCTTCATTGTCTGCAAGTTTCATAAACATTATTTCTTTTTCAGCAATGATTTTCAAAGTTTGAGCATGAAACTTGGCAAATACAGTCGTATTACATAATGCAGTTTGGAAAGCTTCCTGCAAAAAAACATAAAGTAAGTGCATATATATCATGTATATTGACATTTGATAGGAAGAGGATCACGTTGACCCCAATTTTGGCTTTTAACTGTATCAAAATTAATTAGTTTTTCATTGAACTTCAAAATTTTGAATTGTAAGGTCTCTACGACTACTAAAAGATGCAAAAAATATGAAAGTCTAAAATAGTATTGGTCATGTACAAACACATATACAAACACATGTCAGCGCTACTCTCAATCGCATAGATTTTTAAATACTGCTTTTACCATCTCAATGTCTCTGTAACTTTTATCTATAAAGTTCTCTAATGTGCTCATTGGTCAACTGAGAAAGGCTAGATTTTACCACCGAAGTGGCGTTTTTTCGGAAAGAAATAAGTATTTTCTATATTTTCAGGATTATAGAACTAGTGATCTTATAACAAATTAATTTCAACAATCGTACTTTTTAAATATAACCAATAGACCTACTTTTAACTCCGGAGTATATAATTTTCCGTTAGGTTACATACTTTGTGGTAGGGCATTCTGGTACTTTGCTATGAAACCATTTGGAAGCTAGTGTGTGAAAATACGCAGACATGTTTGTTTTGAACATATGTCTCGAGTCAAACCGTGGGCTTTCGATAATTCCTCTAAATCGTGCTTCTGTGTGAAGGGACAGTTGTCTCATTGGCTATCATACCACATCTTCTAATTTTTATATATAAGGCATTTCGACATCTTGAAACTCAAATGGTGTTTTTCATCGTCCAATGATTTCTCTATGAATAGGAATCCAAGTTCATTGACCGGTGATCGATTGGCTTAATTTAACCTTAAGAGGTTGATATAGAATGTAAGGTTAAAACAATTAAAACTAACTGATCAACACTGATATTTTGAGTAATAATTGTCTTATCTTTTCCCCTGTTTTTTTAACAGAGAAACTTAATCATCCTGTTTTCTACTTTTCACGTCTTTCATCCAACTTAGTTGTATTCTTTCGAATATTTGTATCCGGAAATAGTTAAGATTCGCATACAACATATTGATTGCTGACTAATGATACCTCCGCTATCAATATTTGGTAAGCAGGAAAATGATACTGGATTGTTTGTACAACCATCGATTATCATATTCCTGTTAACTGTGCTTGTACACCGCATCACAAGGTACAACCTATGTTTTATTCTTCTACGACGATGTGGGTTTTGAACGAGATTTGCTACCAATAAGGGTCTTGCACGGTCGGCTTGTTCTTCAGAGGAAAGCACTTACGGGAGATCAGATGTGAACGAGTATGCCCCGTTAATTTGGAGCAGATGTATAATTAATTAAGTTAGCATAAATAAAACCCATTCCTCAGTATTTCAACAATACATTCGTATGAAGATTCATTTGAATACCATGTAGTTCGGTTAGAAATAGCCTACAGTTCTAAATCTATACTTGGAATAATTTTTAAAAACTACATTAAAGGGGTAAAACTATAGTCAGCATCGACGTATTACCGTTTGCTAAAAAAAAAGGATCATGATAACAGGAGACTTGTTCGTATTACAACAAATAAAGGTAAATATATTTGTTTTCTTGTCATTTGTAAAATAGTTTGCCGATTGGATGTTAAAAATTGATACTTTTAAAATGATGCATACAGGGAGTTCGTTTCAGTGTGCGCAAAAAACCAAATCCCCATCCTCATCTAACACATTTCATCTAATGCTAAATTGCTGGAGAAGAGAGGCGAAAGATACCAGAGGGACATTCAAACTCATAAGTTTAAGTTGAAATAAACTGACAACGCCATGGCTAAAACAAAAGACCGACAGACAAATAGACAACCAATAGTACACAAAACACGACCAGGAAAACTAAAGACTAAGCAACACGAACCCCACCAAAAACTGGGGGTGATCACAGGTGCTCCGGAAGGGTAAGCAGATCCTACTCCATATGTGGCACCCGTCGTCTTGCTCATATTAGTACAAACCCTGTCATAAGTCTAATTCGGTGCGGCACATTCGTGAAAAGGGGACTGGATTTTAGTTACGACATTAGGAACATATCAAATATCATATGTGAAACGGATATTGCATAACGGTCAACCAACTCGTGATGGCGTCCATAAAATAAACGAGAGATGATTTCAACTTCACCATTTGGAGATGTATACTCCGTATGCAAGCACTGCTGGAATGATGGATCATAGAAATGGAAAGTTCACAATTCGGAAGCTGAAATCATTCTCTTTTATTGTCAAGTTTTGTTTTCAACCGACCCTCATTGTCAATTTTTAGATGTAAGTTGCAGAGTGCCATTTTATGTGTTTACGTTTTTTTTAACTCTATCAATAACTCTGGTAAAGGTAAAAAAGTTGATATATTGCCATGCAAAATTTCTGCTTCTACCTCGCAAACCCTTATTTTTATTCATATGGCAGCCTGTTCTTTTCCCTTTCATCTAAGTCGACCGACCTCAAAATACTATAGGTATACAAAATTTATGCATTGCTTAGATTGTAATCATCCTGAACATGCATGCTATATATATCAGTGGATGTTCTATCACTTCCACTTCGTTAAAAATAGGTATAAACAATCTCTCGCAAAACCGTCGTAATTCATCTTTAAAATATAAAAGAAATATGACTGAAATTTGTTCGTGTCTTACATAGCAACGAATTACTGTATTGCTATACACGGATCAAACCATTGTATCTATGACGAGTTTATCGCATATTGATTTTGCATGCAAAGATAAAAAAAAAACATTCGTTAATCAATCAAATCATACAGGACACTCTGGATGCCTAACAGTCACTCTGAAAATCCCGTAATTGTTTGTGTTTTAATTTAAGCAAATACTAAAAAAAAATACCGAACGCCAAAACTGTGTAAACATGTATTTGATACAGTAATGTGATATTAAGTAGACCCAAGTATTGATCATGTGACACACTATTTGTTTTCATTTTCCATCCCTATATCCCAAAATGGGTGGTACTTTATTGACGCTGAGACTGATATGTGCTATCACAATTCGATTTAACCAAATTCCTTGAATATGAAGAGAAAAGAGAAATTCTCTATACATTTCGATTTAAAAGATTTAAAAGATTTCAGCTTAACTGTCAAGCAAACCCACGAGAGGTTTGTACATGGAAATATTTTATGGTTGCCGTTACTCTTGCAGTCAGTAACTTCGTAAACACTTTATTCAATTTCAGTACTTTAAGACATAGCTTTTTTTTATAAACATAATTTTTTAATTAACACTTTTCATGTAATTATATTTATAAATCAAGGTAACTAGGTCACAAGGTGTACGATTAACTTGGGCACGGTAAAGTATCTATGAACTCACTGAATACACGAGTCACTCTATTCATAAAAAAAGTCCGGGTATCTTCTTAAAAAGTGTCCGTGTAACACCCGTTATTGTACTGCTTTTCTATAGCTGTGCTGGGGGCAAAGTCGTACACATATCACAGACTTACAGCACAACTGACTAAAAATTCAAACAAACAAACAAATAGATGTAACATAGACGCTTACAAAAAGTAATTGTACTTGATAGTAAACACGACAAAGACAAATAATTTTTGTAGTTGATAGTACATACAGTAAATGAATGTAACATCCATGCAAAATAATAATCTTCTACTTTCAATTTTTTTTCTTATACTTTCGCCCGGTTTGGTTATTATGGATAACTAGGATCTTCCTAGCTAGTAACGAGGCATGTCATCAAATATAAACCAATAATTATTCTAATAACAAACAACTATTCTTTTGTTTGTAAGACTTACTATTGACTTAAAATTGTCTTCCTTATATTCTGGTAAATTTTCTTCCTTCCCATCTTCTCGTAAATTCCATAAGTCATCTATTGCTTCCTGGACAATAGAGCTTATTCTCCCGTTTGATCCTTTGTATAATATCAAGTAATCTATTGAAAAGAACATTGAGTTGGTATGCAATGATTATAAATGGAAGCTGGGATCTAAGGTCAATTCAGATAGCAACTATCACTATCAAGATGTCCAGGAGAGACATAAGGAATGGGAGAGCTAATCACATATAATAAGATATTGGCCTTTAATCCAAACATTGTTTTTCTGAATATGCATGAACTAACTTATCTGATCATTACTAATTGTTAAGGCCACTTGATATAAATGTGTCAATGAACCCATATAATTGATAGATTGAAAACTAAAATGTTAAAAGACATTTATGATAAGTTCAAACTATACAGTTAAAACAATTGGACAATATAAGATAAGTTAAAACAAACATTAGCATGTGTCACATTCAAATGCCTTTACTATGAAACGCCATGGCTGTTTTATTAGGTAGTGGTGTTCTGTGATATGGTGTAGTTTTCTCGTTATTATATTATGTACATTCTGCATTATATTATGTAGTAACTTTGTTGATGGTTATTTGTCTCATTGAAAATCAAACCACATATATAATAAAGCAACAGCATACAACAAAGCAGTAACTACATACCATACTACAGAAAACGCTAACTGTTATAATGAAAGTACTTAACATATAAAGTTATCCCCATGATAAAATAATCGAACTTCATCAGAGTTCATATAGAAGTAGTTCCGATGCAAAACGGCACAGAACAGATTAAGTTGATATTGTGGCATCGTCCTTTTTACATCTGTAAAATTGGCCAACGTTTTCAGTATGCCGAGGAGCAAAATATTTAAATACAAAAAATACCTAACTTCCCCCAATCTGTGAAAACCAGCTTGGAAATCAGATAAAAACAATTAAAAACTATCAGAGACCTTTGTGCAACCCTCCACCCCCTAAAAAAAATCAGCTTACATGCAATCAGCTAGCCTAGGGAATCAGCTGATACGGGCTAAATTTTCTAAACTCGGTATTGTATCTCATGCAGTGTCGAACGTACGTTGCAATGATTTCTGCAACCCATTATATATATTTCCGAGTATAAACAAGTCTAAATTGAAAACAACGTTCAAACCTATATTTGCGTTGGATAAAATCCGCAATTTTTATACGTGTGCATGCAAAACAAATTTCTTGGTAGAGGTGTATAAATACAGCACAAACAACATTTTTCAAAAGACAAAAACAGTGAAAAAGAATACCATCTTTTCCGCAAGTTTATTGTTTTCTGTTTGGTATTAAATTAATAGTTAAGATCCATTTTGTTACATCTGGTGATCCGTTTATTTGGCAAACGCCAATGGCAGTCAGCAGGGTTTAAGAACATCCGTTGTTCGACCTGCTAGTCAAATGCGTTTTGTTAAAATATACTTTTTCACTGTTTTGGTCTTTTGGAAAACGTTGTTTGTGCTGTATTTCCGAGTATATATATATACATACGTACTAGTAATTGATAAGATTGACGTCCATAATTTCATGTGGACGAAAATGTGTTCTCATTGTTGAATAAAATCTGTCATATGATCCAACAGATTTAAAACACCTATTTCGTGCAAGTAGTCTCCAAAAAGATTTGTTTGCATTTGATTATTGATCAGAAGGGTGTTGACTATGCTGGTTGTATTTGGTTCTGCTTGTAAAGAGGTAACTAAACGTTTAAGTTTGTTACATATGTAATTTTCCAAAAATGGAGTCAGTTGGAATGTTTGTGAATTCGTGTTTACTTTTGCAGAACCTCAATGTAAAATTTACGTCAAACAATAATGATATTACTGGATGCCTTATCAGCCTGGACAAAAACAAATTGTTGGCAAGTTTTTTAAACTTAAACCATTGTTGTGACGTCAGCCTATTCATTTAAAGTGGATTCTTTTTATAAAATCAACGCTTCCTAAATCTGTCGCTGAAATGGACTCACCAAATTATATATAATTGTTTCTTTTGTGTGCCTAATTCCATTAAATTTGAATTAGATAATTTACTGATTTCTGTTCACTAATGGAATTAATTTTAAAACTTACCTTTAGTTTTTGTAATTTTTATATGCCTTCACTGGGAATCGAACCACTCCTTGAAATCTGTTATGTATGACTGACATCAACACATCGACGAAACCTATTGGCTACCAATGGGTTGCAATTAGATGTCTATTTTGCATATTATTAAAAGAACATGTAAAACACATCGGTACAAGGGCTTGTACATTTATACATACATAATAGGCAATCGTATAGTATAAATTTTTGGCCGCGAGGTTAGCATGGTTAGGATCAATGAGTTAAAGAGACAAGTTAAAGGACTTGTCGATTTATGTTCGAATCCCTGTATTCTCTTTATTGTCCCCATTCTTTTGTTTTTACGTTTATTTTATTTTTCATGTTATTGTGGATATTTTTGTAGTAATAACGCGTTTCCCCGTTTATTTTTAGATTATTATTAGCTATTTCACATATTTGAAACGAAAATGATAACATTCAATTTGTCCAATTTTGTTTTATAAATATAGTATGAATTCATCTGTTTTACTACATAATTTGCCAAAGTTTATTCGCAAATCCCTATGCGAGTAAATCATGATGTGCCTAGAATTAGACTTCTTGCTAGAAATTTCAGTAACATACTTATTATATATACTTTTAATTAGAAATAAGTTCGAATATGTATTATTTTGAAAATTACGGATAATATTCAGATGCCTGATAATTTAAAGAAAGACGTGTTATTTTATATTTGTATTCCTCTTACCAATTAATTGTGAACTTAGATTTATTAATGCATCGTTGAACATGATAACGTGGTTACTTAAACTCACTTACAAAAAAAGTAAAATAACAAAAAATACCGAACTCCGAGGAAGATTCTAAACGGAAAAGTCCCTAAGCAAATGGCAAAATCAAAAACTCAAACAGAGCAAACGAATGGATAACAACTGTCATATTCCTGACAATGCCTTCTTACTAAGAAAAGGCTTTAACTTTCAAAAGACACCAACACAATAGTTTAAGTTATAGTTACAATAGATAAGCGTTTATTCATGAAAAACAACCCATTCGCCCTTCGGGCTCATGGTTTCTTTTTCAAGAATCACCGTTTATTAATTGTATCTATACTACTTATGTTTGATGGTTGTTTTAGGAGTAAAATGTTCTTTTACAAATATTTCCGAGTAGATTTTTTGTAAACATAACAAATAAGACGGAGTTCAGTATTTTCAAAATAGCCAGGAATTTGTTCTTTAACAGAATGATAATTAAAAATACCGCCAATATTAATAAACTCAAAACCTTTATTGACATATGTGATTTTAATAAAATATTTTTTATGAACATGAGGGCAATGAATTTTGGGAAACAGTTAAGCATAACAATATGAAATCATAATTTGGATGATTTCATACTTAGGACTGCAATATGGAATTGTGTTGCAATCCTTTAAAATTTGATGTAATTTATTAACAGTTAAAGAACAGAGCTTGGTGAACAGATAATGTTTGCCGTTGTTTTTTTAAATAGTAATAAGGTTCGAAATATTTGTATTGTTGGTACGAAATTTTCTGATTGCGATTTATTCTACGCTTATGAGAACGGTTTTTACGAACAGTTTTAGAAACTATATCCAAAATGTTAACAGAATCGGTTCTTGATATATTACCAATTCCCATGATACTTTCATTAAGACCGAGATGATTGACTGTCTGTAATTTTATAATCCAATTTAATTCGATTACTTTCCGTGATCGTACAAACTTAGAATGAGATTTCCCAGTCTGATTTTACTACTTCTAAAGGGTGGACTGTTAAATATTTAATAGGACGATTGTGCTTCTTAAGGTGTTGATAAATGATACTTTTAAATAGATTAGGTCTTCTAAAACGATAAAGGTGTTCTTGCGTGATTTAAGATAAATAGCGTCCGATTCAACCAACGTAATGAATACCGCATTCCTGTTTGTTTCATGTCAGTAAATAGATAATACTGTTAGTTTTTCCATTTATATCAGTTTCGAAATTTAGAAAAATGAGCGACCATTAAACGTGGACGTTACCGTATTGTTGGTTGAAAGACAGGGACATGTAAGTCATTTTTTGACATGACACTTATCGATAGATCTATTATTTAAAATGTTAGCGATTGTATAGTGCGTAACTAGATTTTGTGAGATAGACGAAATTGACCCTAAAACGATCGTATTGAATTTTGATGTACAAAAATAGACAGATCGGACATATTTTGACTTTATTTACTGAATACTTTTGTTTAGAAACAATTGTAATTATAGATTTATAATGAGACTAATTTTTTTTTTTTTTTAAGATAAACAATAATTTTATCTGGCGTAGCCGTGCGTAAAATATATTTCGGCATTTCTTTTCGAAAAATGACTTGTTTAATGGAATAAAACGTCGATTTGTAAACCTTTACTTTTATCTCATGAATATGCTATTAAAAAATAATTTATCTACTCTATATTTCGAAAATTTTATGAAAATATAAGAAGTGGCAATTCTTACCTTTCATACCTTTAGTTTCATTGATAAAAAATAATGTGGACTCGTCCAGTGTCCAGTTTGAAGGTCATTTAAGTCTCTGTGCACATTCATGCACGTTCTGATTTAATCAATAAACATGTATAACAAAATGAACAGTTTGAAGGTAAACGAATGATAAATTAATCCAATCAAATTGCGTAAGATTCAATAACAATGGCCGGTCCACATCAAAATAAGTAATAGGGGTAAACTGGGTAGGGAGAAAATGGCAGATATTTTAAGTTCATTTTTTTTGCAATGATGAATTATTATTTGTCAACCAAAACTTTTGCTATCATTACAAATACAAGTCGTTCTGTATTGGTATAGTTTTCGGGTTTTTCATTTGCGTATTTAAGGCAATAGAAAGTTTGGGCTTCAAAAGTCTACATAATAATTGACTTTATACTGAAAATTCGCCCTTTTCAAACATTTATTGTTTCACAAATAATACATGGATACAAAGTAAAACCAGTTCTTAAAACATTGCAAAAAATTTCATTTTGATTGGTACAGTGGTATTTTCATAAAGTGGGTTCAAATGAACGTGGTATAGCAAACATCGAATTCCCTCACAAAGTGTTATCACTCACTATAGTATTTTTAGATGTTTTGCTTTGTGGACTCGTCTATGTCAGCTGTACAAGACTGATGTTGATGATCCTGATAACAAAATTTTCTCTTTTAACATTTAAACCAGTCTTATCTTTTCATTGTTTCTCTCAAAGTCATGATTATAGAGAAAATGTATCATTGAGTACACCAAATCGCTTACAAAGAAACGATTTCTGGATTTGAGATTTTGGAAAAGCTATTCCTTATGAATGCAACAAAAAATTGATGGTGTATGTATTTAGTCTAGTCAAGGTGTAGCGATATATACAAATTAAAATCATCTAACTCTTCTGTTAGACTCTATATGAATCACGATCATGGAAAATATACACCGCCTGCAGTTCACACTGTGTCTACGGATGGTTTGTTATTCTACGTCTACATTAAACCTTTAATAATTCACTATATTCGAACTAAACTGTTTTCCATACCATTATTGAAGATCAATCAACTCTTTCAAAAAGCCCAAACCACTTCCGTTATTAAAACAAAAGTACAGATTGGTTGCAATAATTTAGGAATTTGCTAACTACTGGCTATTTAAAATCCGTGGCAACCTCTTCCACAGAAGATGAAAATCTTAGTTTTTTAGGTAGAATTCGATCATGAGGGTTTGCATAGTCATCGTCCGCATAAAATATGTACATGCTGGTAAAGGTATAACTTAAGAGCTTGGCAAAGTAAACAATCAGCAACTTAGAGAATTATTAGCCAAAAGCCCTAAATATCACATACCACAACCCACCAACTAGAGGAAGAACAACCTCAGGTTACTGATAGATGCAGTACTATGCCAGAAAATGACAAAAGAGGGAGCCAGATGAAACAAACATGGGCACTTTATGTGAATAAAGCGAAGCTGTTCGTTCATTCAGTCAGAGTGACATTCAAAAACTATGATGTACTTTGTGCACACGGGATCCTTACCCTCTCAAGAAGCCCGAGATTTAGAATGATTTATCCTCCCTTTACAAAAAACACCTTAGCAGCAAACAATATTAAATGTATATGTAAACAGTATTTTTTGGAATGTCTATCTAAACAAAATTGGAATTTACAGCAAAACAATGAATCTCACAGATACCCTACATCATTCACTAAAGAGGTGATTTTAGAAAATAACAAATCTGTTCTGTTGTCCTTTACTGACATCAAAACGAACGATTCAAATCTCACGTCTGTATACTAGATACCTAAATTTCCTTTGATTGAACGAGATATAGCCTGGTCGTTAAGATGTTCTTACTTTCATTCTTTCTACAGTTCAAGATGGCAGTCAGAAATATTGTTATGAGGTTTATTCAACCAACGGTGACAATAAGATATGGATTGAAACAAATTCTAAAGATTTTCACCAAAAGCTTCAATCACAATCTTTATAATGTTTAGTTCTATCAGAACTTTAAATTTTTTCTACACTTTATATATTATTACAGGTGTGTACTCCTTTAAAATTGTGAAGAGGGACGACTGAAATAGATACAACATAAGTTTTTTTGCGTTATTATTACTAATTTGTTGACTGATACGATGTGTCTCAACTCATTAGCTACATGTTTACGTGGTTTTAGATCTTTATATAACAGAATTTTTTAATGTGGCGATTGTGTCCAATTCCTGACTGTGACATTTTGACTGAGTGTATATTTGCATGGCGGGTGATTCATGGATAGTAGAAGAAGTTTTACCTTGTCGACGTACCCATTCTTGCTCCTTTTGGAGTTCATGTAATTCCTCCAGAATTGTTTATACCTTGATTAGTATCTTCTGAATGAATTTATGAGATTTGAACATTGTTAAACTACTGTTGCCTCAAATTTAGAATAGAATGTTACTCTCATATAAAAGAAAATACTTGAATTTCTACATGAAGTATAATAAGTCTGAACTACCTTTAGCACCCTTTGCAGTGGCTATGAGTCCAGTCTTCAATACAGGTATCAACCATGGCTTCGGCACAAAACTGCTAGAATCACCAATAATTGACAAAACCAGTTTCGGAGGTCGCACTCGTTCTCCTAACAATGTATTTATCAAATTTCGTGCTCCTGATAAGTCATCAATCAAATATGTTGCAGATAATTTATTGGCTTTTGTTGATTTTTTATGATGATCTTCTGATTCGACTACGGGTTGATTCTTGTCATTTATTCGTGCCTGTTCGCTATCAGTATTTCCAGGCTTGATTATCTTATTAGACCTGGAAAATCTGTAAAATATTGATTTAATATTAAGGTTGTAAAACATTTGAAAGCTTAAACTTGTTCAGATGACTTTTTCAAATTATGATTTTGAATGCTCCTGTATTCAGAATGCTTCGATATTTTTATGTACTCTGTTCTTTTCTTTTTTCACCGTATGTGTGTCAGTATAAGTATCTTTCCGTACATGTCTTGAGCTTAAATGACTAAACAATAATTATTATATATAAATGAGTCTTAATATTACACATTACAAATTGAAGATAATTTTAAAAATGCATATAGTAATAAACTTCAAATGTTATTCAGCCCTAGACATTGTTGTTGAAGTTAGTTTGGATAAAATATTGCAACTGTAAACGTTTTTGTAAAATTAAGCATTTAAGAACCTGTTGATTTGTATATACCCGAGCTATAGTTCCCTTTTTGGTTGGTTAATAGACATTACACGAAGTTTATTCTATATGATTACACCTTATTTAAGAATGCCGGATTTTGATTGGTTGGTAGCCAGTGTATTTTTCGCATATTCTAACATTTTTTCCTCATTTCAAACGAATTTGTCTGTTTTTCACCACTACTAGTGAATATGTCTCAAATTCCCCTCTATTCCGTGGCATTTGCCATTTTGGATATTCCCTTTTTTACCCTTGCGAGCCTCTTCCTGCCAAATTTATTCGGAATCTTTTTCACCTTATCCCGATTATTTAGGCAACATGATTAAGCAATATTGATTGATACAGGTAATTCAATACTGTAAACAAAAATGTCAGGCAAGAAGACAAATGAACGATTTAATGATGGAATGACAATGACGTTTACACATAGATACCATGACGTTACATAAAGGCAGCGCTAACGCGTAAAAGTACATGTATAATTCCCACAGTACTATGATAGTCTTTACTTATCCTCAAAATTATGCATAAACATTTTTATGGATTACAGCTTACTAGTAGAAAAAGATTTCCCTTCACCTGTACAGAGAGTTTTGAACAGATATATCATGTTAAGGAGTGGTATTTGCGAAAAATACCAGTCGAGAGAATGTTAAATTTCGCGAGCCGTAAGGCGAGGGAAATTCATTCTCAAGACTGGTATTTTTCGCAAATACCCCTCAAGAACATGATATATCTGTTTAATTACACCGAATGTTAACGTTCAAAAACGCATTGATGATCGTGACGTTACAAGCGTCCATTCGGATAGAGTATTTTTTGGCAAATACCACGGCAGAGAGGGTAAAAAAGGCATATCCTTTTTGCATATACCCCGGCGGCGTTAAAAAATGAACGATATTCATTTGATAACAGTAAATTGGTGAAAAATACACTGGCTATCAACCAATCAAAACCCAGGATTCTTACATAAGGTGTAATAACAATCAAAATATATTCGGTGTAATTAAACAGGTATATCATGTTATGTGGGGTTATTTGCAAAAAATACCAGTCTTGGGACCAAATTTCCCTTGCCTAGCGGCTCGGGAAATTTCACAGTCCCTTGACTGGTATTTTTCGCAAATACCCTTCCATAAGATATATAATATATATGTTCATAATTCCACCTTATGTAGTAATGCTGTATTTTGATTGGATGAGAGAAATGGTATTTTTCACCAATTTTCTATATATTGAGATTTTCCTTTCTCTGCCAGTGTATTTGTCATTAGGGAATTCCATGTGCCGGGGTATTTACCAGCAAAGGTTCTTTTTAAAAAGTCAAGCCCTTCCTCCCCATTCTAACACACGTAAAAGATGAATGATCGGTCCCTACCACATCTCCTTCTTTTTTGACACTTTTGTTGTCAGGAGAATATGGTTATTGACCCTTCGGTCTGCTAGTCATTTTGGTTTCAGTCTGCTAACTCAAATAATTGGTATCGGATTACATATCACTTGGACATATGATCAAAACAAAATGAGAGGAAAATCCCTATTGATTTTGAAGTCACAAGTCAAAGGTCAAGATCGCGATTACTTAGAAAAGAAAAACATTGTGAAGAAAAGTGGTAGCCGGGTGTTATAGCACAATGACTTGAGTGTGAAAGTAGAGGTAATTTCTTTGGTAAGCTAACTTGCTAGCTGAACCATGAAATCATTATTAGTTAAGGCACCACCTTCCTTGGGCTGATATAAGAATTATAGTTAAGTAGAGAACTAATCAAAAGTAAGGACAGTGCATACACATATGTTATACTCAAGGATATGAAAAGTGTTTTTTTTAAATCGATTAAATCATAATGTTCTATACAATCGCTTATGTAAACAATCTAATTAAAATAAATGAACAGAGGTAATTGATGGAAATAAAATTGACAAATCAAACACACCTTCAGCACAATATTATTGAACTAAATTGTAAAACTGGTTTCACAATATTTGTATACTGCTTTTACTTTTGATTTGGTCCCTGCTTAAATATTGACTTCGCCCAAAAGAAGGTTGTAATGATTTCATGGTTCAGATAGCAAGCAAGCTACCCAAAAATATTACATTTACCTATACACTCATGTCAATGTGATGTATATCAAATACTGCATTATGAATTGCAACCTTATATGGATAAATTATTAAGAATAATGACAGAGAGAAGCCTATTGATATGGGGTCACTATGTAGGTTGTCAAAAAGACATAACAAAAAATCCGAACTCCAAGTCAAATTTGAAGAAGGGAAGTCTATAAAAACTGACAAAATCAAACGCTATCAATCAACAGAACAAGTGAAAAACAACGGCCATATTCCAGACTTGGTACAAGCGTTTTCGAAAGTAAAATGGTGGGTTAAACCTGGTCTTAGAGCTAGCTAACATTCCACTTGCATGACAGGTGTTATAATGACCAAATCATAGTTTCTGATAATATACTGACATTTGTGTGGCTTCGAGCTGCTAATTATGATGCCAAATACGAGACTGCAACCTATTCTGGATATGTAGTCACATGTCATAAGAGGCATTTCTGTACTGATTTTGACGTTAATCAGTTAGTGATCTTAGGTCAAGGTCGTAGTTACTGAATACAATTGAGAATGGGAATGGGGAATGTGTCAAAGAGACAACAACTCGACCAAAGAGCACAAAACAGCCCAAGGCCACCAATGGGTCTTCAACACAGCGAGAAAATCCCGCACCCGATGGCGTGCTTCAGCTGGCCCCTAAACAAAAATGTGTATTAGTTCAGTGATATTTAACGTCATACTTAACTCCAAAACACATAAATGAACTAAAATTAAAAATCATACAAGACTAACAAAGGCCAGAGGCTCCTGACTTGGCAAAAATGCGGCGGGGGTTAAACATGTTTTGTGAGATCTCAACCCTCCCCCTATACCTCTAGCCAATGTAGAAAAAACAAACACTCAGCAATACGCACAGTAAAACTCAGTTTAAAAGAAGTCCGAGTCCGATGTCAGAATAGGTAACAAAAGAAACTAAGCAAAATGACAATGATACATAAAATAACAAAGGACTACTACCAGTTACTGATATGCCAGCTCCAGACCTCAATTAAACTGATTGAAAGATAATGTCTGCATCATATAAAAATCAAGCACAATCCCTCCCGTTAGGGGTTTAGTATCATACCATCATAAAATGTATGAGAAGAACATAACCCGTAGCATGCCACAATAAATGTGTTTATTTCCGATGCAAAGACCCTATGAGTGAATCAATATTAAAACCAAAATATGCCATCTTTAATGACAACAGTATCGTAACTATATTCCTTCTTAATAAGTCTGTTTAAAAGTTTGGTTAGCTTTTGAGGTGAATGCCGACATTTTTGTGCTTTGTAAAGAATATTACTATAAAAGATTGGATGTGAAATACCTGAACGTATAAGATGTCTGCATGTTGATTTATATTTACGAATGATGTCCTTGTACCGATGATAAAATTTAGTAAATGTTTTGACTAGTTTGTGATATCGAAAACCCTGGTGTAATAATTTTTCAGTAATACATAGATTTTATTCGTTAAAATCAAATACGTTGTTACATACACGAGCGAATCGAACAAGTTGAGATATATAACCACCATAAGATGGTGACAAGGGAACGTCACCATCGAAAAATGGATAATTAACAATAGGAAATGAAAAATCATCTCTTTTATCATAAATTTTGGTATTGACCTTCCTGTTAAAGATATAGATATCAAGATCCAGGAAAGGGCAGTGTTCATTTGTAGTATTAGCTTTATTTAAAGTACGTTCAACAGGATAAATCTCTTTAAAGTACATACTGAAGTCGTCATTATTGAGAGCAAATACATCATCCAAATATCTAAAAAAAAGTTATTAAATTTTTGTATCAGATGTTGTTTCGATGGTTCTTTGCTGATTTTAGTCATAAATTGTTACTCATAACAATACAGAAACAGGTCCGCAATAAGTGGTGCACAGTTAGTCCCCATTGGAATTCCGATAACTTGACGATATACGGAATCTCAAAAGCGAACAAAAATGTTATCTAGTAAAAATTGAAGCAGATTTGTGCAAGACAAGGTTTCTGTCTAAAAAATCATAACAGAAGTAAATTCTGCCATAAAGACAGAGAAACGTACTAAAACTATGCCATCAGGTCACAATAAGCTTTCCCCTAAACATATGAGAAGATGTGGCTCTTAATTATATTGTCGTTAGATTCGTCGTTCATGGGAACAAAGCATATGTAGACGCATTAAATCAACAACATTATTAACAATGCTAATTATTTCAACAAAATACAAGTTATAAGTCATACAATTTTAATAACAATAGAAAAAGTAGATTTAATAATTATATGAAAATAATGATTTAAAAAAGACTGACAATGAAACAAAAGCAGAGCATTCAGATATTTAAACCCAAAAATAAAAAAAGCTTCATTGTAACTTGAAACAAAATTAGATAAGGGAAAATAGGAAGACAAAAACAAGTTCATTCTGACCAAATGTCAAGACACTCAACCTATGGCAAAAAATAGATATGATTTTTACATTACGGTGTTATGGAATTTCTTTCTGTAGAAATATCCAGCGGTTTAAATTAAAAATGATCCGATTCTATGTTATATAAGATACAAGAGTTTTCATTTTAAATGAGGCTTTTTTTTTTACCTTTTCTTAAAGGCGTTAACGTGTATGGTGTATGCACTTTTAAATATGAAATTTGAATGTTCTAGAATTCTGTTACGTCATAAATGTTATTCTTTTTTCATTTTCTCTCTTTCCACTACTGAATTACCATCATATAAAGTATGTTTAATGGGATATTCCAGGAATTGAGACTCTATCGTATAATAACATCATTTAAACACCATACCTACGCAAAATCTAATAAACATTGTCATTAAATGACCAATAATTAATGTCACTACAAAGTAAAAGGAAATACAAAGTAACAAACATGCATACAACCACAGGACATTTTGAAATAAATTTAAGATTAATTAGAAGGAAAAAATGTATGTCATGTGGAGCGGTAATTCAGGTTGACTGCATTCATGCAACAACTTCATTAGACTAAACTCACCAAATGAAAGAAAATGAAATTATTATGTTGTCCAAAAAAGAGAAGTTATATGCATTCTATATACTATCGACTCGGACTCTCGGAATATCTAGTCAATACAAATATTCACATAGATTCGGAAGTAAGAACGTGAAATTCTTCTTCGTTCTGTTTGATTCTTATCATAGACTAACAAATAATCATGAACATCATCGTCTTACCTGAATGCGAGCGACTTTTTCTTTTTCTGGCAATGCATTTGGTCTTTTCTGGCTTCACTTTTTAAAATGACATACAATTAAAATTACTGAACATGCTACGCACATTCGCAGTCGTTCTCATACTGAGGGAGGTCGTCGCACAGGTCACCTGCAAACAAATCCAAATGAAGTCGAATTAATGACCTGCAAGATACTGATGTACCAGCGATTTGTTTGAGGCTTGGTTTAACAAATTATATCAAATAGACTGCTTAAATCTAACAAATACAGCAATTAATCTAGTCCAAATGAGAATGCCGCCTTGGAAGGCTATTCAATTTTTGCTTTGACCCCTTTCTGGGTGATCTTTGAAAATCAAAATACAATAATACCCTCAGCCGCCATCATAATTCTCTAAATTACTTTAAAAAGTCCGACAATGTCGCTGTTTTAGTTAACCTAATTGTAACGTAAAAATTATTTTTTAATTTTGTGTCATGAATAATTTTCTTTTGCTTTCTTAGCGCTATTAGGAAAAACATTTGGAATTTTTGGTCGTCAATGCTCTTCCACTTCGTACTTTATTCGGCTTTTTAATTTATTCGAGCGTCACTTAAGTGTCCTTTCTAGACGGAACAAGCGTCTGGCGAACGTATTGATAAGCCTGGTATTTTCATAAGTTTGTATACGACCGTCGAAGAAGGGGCGTATTATGGTAAACCAATATCCGTCCGTCCACCCGTCTGTCCGTCCACTTCGAAAGACTTTTCGTACTCAAATTTGCTTTCACCAGTTCTCGAATAATTTTAAATCAACATTGAATTGACGGAATAAAGCTTTTTTTTTTTTTTTTATTTTTGGCTTTGTCATTCCAGAGTTACGGAACTTTTACTGTTTGTCACATTTAAGGAATTTTTAACAAATTGCACACTAACTCTAGTATTCCTGGATTGATTTCCTTTAAACTTTTTTTTATTGTGGGGATTGATCAAAAGGAAGCTCCATTGTGAGGTTTTTTTTTATTTTCCAGTTTGTTGCATTAAAGTTATGGAACTTTAATTATCACATTTTAGTTTTTTTTTCACTAATACTACCAAAAATTGAATTTGCTTGGATTGATTAAGTAGAAACGTTTCATAGTTGTTGGAATTGGTAAATATAACTAACTGTTCGATTGAAAAAGAGGGTATCCGCAGCCATGTTTTATTACAGATCCTTTTTATTTTCTAATGATTAAAGGTCTTCAAAATATCCCGTTTTATTCATGCAATAATTTCAATATGCACAACAAGGGCGTTTCATGCGCTATTGGCGCAGCTGCTTATATACCAGGGTTTCACCCTAATGCTATCAAGTCCAATGTTAAATAATTATTTGAATATATAGCATATAATTTGGTTTATAATTGTTTCGACAGCTGCATGTTATTGCTCGGTTGAGAAATTCTTCTCTTAATGATCCATAACGGCTTTCGGGTGTTTGTTTTTGTTTCTGTGTCTCGTCAAGAATTTATAGCTTAGCAGTCAGATAGTGGTCAGATCATAGCCGTTAAAATAATTACTATTGAAATTATTTTGATAGATAACGCTGTCTTCTTGTTTCGATCTGTTCGTTTGCAGTTTTTGTCTTACCAAAAAATTCCCACCGGCCTGCCCCTGTCAGCCAGCCTTCATTCCGCATGTGACGGGGACATCTACACAGCAATACCTCTGCACTGCCATTCATTGCATATTTTATCACTGGTCAGTTATTAAATGACAATTGTTTATCCCCCAAGTTCTATCAACTTACACATCTCACATTTCATTACTTATACTACAGTTGCTAGGACAGGTCGCGTCGAATTTCCTGTCTTTTTTGGATTTTATAATTTGCTGTGAAAATAATTCTATCATATATGCAATAATTTGTAATAGCATTTTAAGACATTACTTAAGTATTGAATGTGTAAAAATCATGGTTTTAAATTAAAACATATTATTGACGGATACACGTCATTATTTTCCCTCTGAGAGCCTCTTACATTCTTTAAGTGTTCTGCAGAGCTTGAGACTACGTCACATAATAAACGTTTGCAATGATGACGTTGTTGATGTTCCAATTGGGGTAAAACATGTAGTATATACCCTGGCAGTTTCCTGAATATATACTGACATCTCCGTGTTGTTATCCAATTACTAAAATTGACACATTTGTAATCCATGTTATATCGTTAATAAATTGTAATATATCGATGAAATAAACAGAACAGAACAACTTTCAAGATTTTCATAGTTGATATAATACTTTTTTCGGACAGAAGATTTATATAATATATATGAAAATTGTTTTAATTCGACTGATTTTCAATATGAGATCTGGGATCAAAAGTTCACTCTATGAGTCCCGTGTTTGGTCAAAACGAAGTTCAGATTGTATATTTTGCCATCATGAATATGATATTGTAATTAGCTGTAGGCACAAATGTTTCTTACTTGTTTGGAACGTAAGTGAGTCTTTAACATTCCAAACGAGTAGACAATGTAAGGAGAAATGTGTGGTCATTATAACGAAAATTAGTCTCAAATCAATCATTTTGTCTTAACCACTACAAGACATTTTTTGGGGCGGGTTGGACGAAGTCCAAAACCGGCTTATAGTATGGTTATGTTGGGTTGGCGGGTGAATGGGCCTGCGGATTTCAGAGGAAAGCTATGATGGAATTGTTTGATGAAATTTTTCTAATTTTTTTTAAACTTGGGAATTAAGTAATTTATCAGCATAATTTATGAAAGAGGATACAATTTTTATGTGATTAATTCCGTCAGTTTTCAATATAGATTCCCGAAACTTTACAAGTTGTGCGCCTGCTATTACGGAATTGTTTGATGATTTTTTTCTATTTCTTTTTTAAATTTGGAACTAAGTCATTTTTCAGCAAAGTTTATGAAAGTGGATACAAGTTTTGTGCGATTTACTTCTTCTACAGTGTTCAACTCAGATCTCTGACACTTCACAGGATGGTTGAACATATATCGAAGTTGTACATCTGCTATTACGGAATTGTTTGAGGATTATTTACATTTCATATTTTAAAGATTCAAATGTTCTCCATTGGTTTAAAAAAAAACATTCTGCGCAACCCAGAGATTTGAATATTTGATCTATATTTAATTATATTTTAAGAATGATAATATCTTTTACTTAACCATATTGGTTATGTTAAGTACGATATCATTGTTTTTATCCAAGTTGTGTGTTAATCTGAATTATGGCTTTAAATGCTGAATTTTATCTTGACATATTATCAAAAAGAATGTTTTAAATCAATTCATTCGGTATTATTCAATTGTTTATGAACTCATCATATGTCGTACGTACATCATATTTCGAGTGCTCAATTACTAGTATGAATTTACGTTTAACATACCAATAAAGTCATGTCTCATATTTCGTGCATCGTTCGTTCGTTAACTATCCAATCTCAAGGCGGGCATCGTCAGTTGGAAATTGAGAAGGTATGCATGTGTTGTGAAAACTGTATCAACAGCATTTTTTTCAAATACAAAAAGTATGACAAAAAAACAAGTTGCTTTCTTTAAAAAAAAGAAAAGCAATACGTGAACCCGAAACAACTGACTTGTCACCAAAAACATGTTGCTGATTTATTTTTTTTTAGCTTTAGATTATAAAATAATTGACTGAATAGAATAAGGTACTGATGATTTTAAACCACCTTTATTGAAAATTTGTAGTTGTGTGTAGATTCTTACGCAATTCAATTAAAAGCACTGTTTGATTTTAGTTGTAAACAGAAAAGTGTATACAGCTACTATATGAATTTACATGTTAAGGCTTGACTATCTTATTTATTACTTGGGAGTGTACACCAGTTTTTCTTCGTGGTTAATATACATGCAAAGTCCTACTTCTATTCAATTCTTAGTTTCTGCAAACTGAATGTCTAAAACAAATTGCACAGACCAATCGCAATATGAATTTAAGCACTCAGCTTGCTAAAATGATCTGGATGTATTTATTTTCATATCTTCATATTTTGTTTCCTTGATGGCTTCAATTATTCTTATAATCATTATTGAAACTGTCGTCTTTACTCATGATAGATTCTGTATATAGAGAAATAGAAGGTCCAATTTCCATGTGAAGTGTAACTCTGTGGCATGCAACTTATAAGACGGTTTTGTATTTTGTTTTTGATAGTAACACACCCGCTCCATTGAGACCTCTTATATACTGACAATTATTTTGGTCTTTTAAAACATCTCAAATATTAAAGATTTCCTGAAGTTACTTTAATCAATCAAAATATTATAAAGGAAAAATTAGTTCTATAGAAGTTTTATGAATACCTGAATATGCTCTCAAAAAACCCCAATTAGTATAAAAAAATGTACCCTATGTAGATATATAAAATTGTATAGATACCAGGATTAAAATGTTGTACGTCTGACGTGCATTTCGTCTACAGAAGACTCATCAGTGACTCTCGAATAAAAAATATTAAAAAGGCCAAATAAAGTACGAAATTGAAGAGCATTGAAGACACAAAATTTCAAAACAAAGATTTTGCCAAATACATCTACGGTAATCTATTTATTCCTTGGGAAGAATATCTTTAGTATTTCGGAGTTTATAATAGGACAGCCACTGAAAAAAAAGAAAAAGAAAAGAGAAACAGCTAGAGGTCAGAATACCGTAACTTATGATGACCATGATTCAACGTCACATGCCCAGCTCTTACTGCCGTGTTCTGAATTTAGATAAGAAAGGCAAAAATTTGCATTCCGCGAGTGAAACTAATATTTATGTATGCACGTGGTTTTCTTGCGCAGCGCAAGCAATTCGCACGAATACCGTCTGGATTATAATACACAATTGCGTCATCACTACCTACCTCAAGTGGTTTGACTCCGGATTCATGGGCATTTAATCCGAAATTTATGTAAACGTAAACGTAAAAAGATGTCATAAAATGAAAATAAACCAAGACGGGTGTATGATAGCTGAACAACACAATGAAAACACAATTTTCAAAATCGCACCATATTGAAAAGATTAAGATGCTATAAGATCAAACTATTAAAAACAAAACAAACAGAATTGAAATTAAATCAACATGCATTCCTGTTAATGAGTCATTTCCGAAATTTTTAAGATATAATATCAATGAAAATAAACATCAAGTATTTACTGATGAACGTTTTATATATTAAATCGATCTCTTCTTCAAGTCTATATATTTCCATTATATGAATATATTGCTATACAAAATATAAGCAGATACTTATAAAACCACACTAAAATTAATTACATGTAAATAATTAACGTAGTAAATGATCATTGTGAAATATTTTGATAGGGTTTTTTTGTGAGATGCATGGATTTAAAATCGTTGTGAAGTATTTTTTTCATTCACTAAAATTATATTTAACTAACTTGTGTGTACGCATCCCTGATAATTGGTGCTCATAAGTTGCATTTAATTTTCATAATGTAGTCACTGTTCAGACATGTCGGACATTATATAACATTATATATTATATTCTATTAATGACGAATTAAGTCTTATTATATAGTTTATACTTAATAATGATAATGAAAATTTTCTTGGTCTGTTAGTGTATCTTAATGAAATTAAATATTTAGACAGAAATATCGTTTTGTTTAATTATAATTATGCTTTCCGACCTAAGCAAGATAAATATTTATAACAATAATATCGTTTTGTTAATTTTCTTCAAGCTTGCTTTTACATAATGTCACGTGGTAACCATTTAAAAATAATCAGTTTATTCTGAGACATAATATATTAGTATACTATTCCCAGGTTTATTGTCACAATGCGCAATACACAAAAGCACGTTGTATTAAATACTACACACACAACGCGCCCAGGGGGGGGGGGGGGGGGGGGGGGGGGGGGGGCGTCTAATGCATGAATTATATAATTGCGTTTTCATTAACTTGAAATTTAATAAACATTCTGATTATTTCGCATTATTTACAAACGCATATGCTCTGCCAAAAGGAAAATAGGTGTTAATATCTAAATGATTTTTTTACCGCAATCTAGTTTTTATTTTTTTTCAGATGAATTTCGATTGTTGAACTATACAATATCACGTGGTAGCCTATCCATAGAGGGACCGTATCAAAGACATAAACAACTACCTGTTCGAAACTTTTCGAGACGTTCCGAGAATCTTGTTTCCGGGGATATCGAATGGCCCATAGAAGCTTCCAAAACTCGCCAATATAAAGGCGTGAACACCTAAGGGGGTTCACGCAAAAATGAGTCACTGTCAGAGTCAAAGTATATACCCTTACCGAAAAATAATGCTTGTGGCAAACGTTTGCAGCAAACTAGCAGCAAACATTGCCGCAAGTTTGCAGCAAACATTTGCTGCATACTTGCCGCCAACTTTTTACCATGCAAATGAAGCTTGCGGTAAGCTTGCGGCAAACATAATTATGCAAATTAGATTTGCTGAAAACTTGCCGCAGATTTTTAATACCAGTTATTTTTTTCTGCTGCATGTTTGCAGCAAACTTGCGGGAACTACACATATACCAATGTCATGTGTGTTGAGACATTCATTTTATCTTTTTTCAAATTACACATCAAAATCCTCCAAAAAGAACTTACTTCACATATACAAACATCCGTTGAAAGAATAACTTGCAAACTTATCTGAGATTTAGTCAATATATTTGAGGAAATACATGTATTTCATTTTTGAATGGGGGGTCATGCTCAAATGTAATTATATATTTAGAAATAAAAACGGGTAAATCTCAAATGTGTTTTGAACATAAAGCTATAGGTAATCATCTGCAAACACTATTTTCTGTTTTCCGGCAAACTTTTTGTTTGCCGCAAACCTGCAGCAGGTCTGCTGCAGGTTTGCGACAAACATTTCAGTTCTATAAGGGTTGTTGACAGCATAATCAAACAATTAATTCAGTTACAAAGGATATGTTTCGTACGATACAGATAGTTTCAATGCTCATTTTCTCCTATAGAATTAAGGCAATTACCGAAACTTCCTGATACCGAAACTTGTCTACTCTTGCAATGTTGGGCAGATTTTATATAGTATTGTCGTATTACTTTAATGCATTCAAAAACACTGAGGTCCCAACTGCACCATCACTATAAGGAAACTTCGAATAAGGAAAAAAATGTATAAAACTCACTTGTCGATGTAAAGCAAACCTCCCCTTCTGTAAAACAACCAGATTAAAATACAGTTAGTACATGTTATTTAAAGTTAAAGATCACTGTAAAAGATATACGTAGTTGTTTTATAGATGACCTTTGGATAGGAACGATTTAAATGAAATATGTATTTTCCGGAGATCGAATTAAAGAGCATTACCAATGCCTATAGCCTTAAAACAAAGAAAGGTATTTTAAGCATTTTAAAATTCTATATACTTAGTATATACGGCTCATGAAATGGGTATACAAATCGATTACAAAAATGTATATTATATATTTATGCAACATCATTGCAGGTCAAACTTTAAGAGACTCGATTTTCCTAGTTTGTAGGCAAACATTTAATATATCTATTAAATTTGTCAATTTAGGGTGTATGTTATTCCGTTAGTATTCTATAAAAGTCATTTTATATTTCATATATTTAAATTCTGTATTTATTTTGAATGAGAATCCAAAGAAGCAGCTATCAACACAAAGAATGTCTACCTGTATTAACACTCAATTAAGTGCATGTTTTCTATATTTTTGAAATGGTTTGTCTTTAAGACACAACTTATCCCGTCCTTTCGCTCCTTGTAGTGAATAAGAAGCTAGATCCCGATGGAACGATATCTTTATAAGTGCTTTAAACATTTTGATAACGCATGATTACCATATTGATGCACTTGAATAAACAAATTATATGCCTTTTTTAGTTTTCAATGCTCTTCAACGTCGGATTTGGCCTTCAAACTGTGTTTGTCAATTGAACATTGTGTTGACTTCCACCACCACCACATACATTTAAATGTTCCAAAGATTTCTTATTTTTTTACACAATGGCTTGATATCATCATTACAAAGTTCCATGGTTTTTAATTCTACTGACTTTGGAATGTATACCAGATGCAATAAGCGAGGCATTATATTTTTTAACTCTTTCATACCAAACTCTTTAAAACCACCTGATATCATTTGCAGTTGTCATTGGAGCATATAACGTATTTTGTTTTGTTTATTTGTTTGTTTATTTATTTGTTTACATGTATGCAAACTTTCGTCTGTTTGTACACCTTCCTGATCTTTATTCGAACAGTTGTTTTTAATTTTGAACTTATATTTCTTTTACTATATCAACATTTGCCATGGTAATCTTCTAGAACATTTTTTTTTGCGACTGTCCTTATCATCAATGTGATTTTTCTTCTAATCAATTATTGAAGTGTACTCATATCAACCGTATCCGAAAGAAATGAATTGTACATGCAGTCATGTATAAATGAAGAACAGACAATGATATCAATTTATGGTAAGATATGGACAAGTTTAGTTCAAGATTTTCAATACCAAAAAATCTAGGACACGGTATTCCATGCGCACGTCGCGTGTTTCTGGTCATGGAATAGCTAAGATAAGGAAGACAAACTTTATGCTTATATTTCAACCCAAAAGGCCTAATCAACTTTTCATATATAAGATAACCTTAAAATGATATCCGATAAAAGTAAACTTATCGGAGTCTCTATGAAAATTTATTTTGACCGCCATCACACTGAATGTAGTATAAGAATTCCTAATTTTTCTCCATTTGAGATGAAACATGGGAATTAGACAGGGAACCAGATTATTTTCCTCTAAGACTATAACCAGTGAGGTATAATAGTTGGGGTTCTAATGATCTAAAAACCACGATATGGACCACGCTCTGATTGGCTTATTTATTTTTCATTTTTGTTATCTATCATACGATTGGTTCTCAATGTAACTCGGATTTATTCTACGAAAAAAAGAGTTTCCGAAGTGTACTTTCTGTTTCGATTTCACGTTATATTTATACTGCTGTTAATTGACGGGCAGGAGTCCTAAAGATGCGGAAAAGGGTAAACACTAAAACAAAAATTGCATGTTTACGACCAAATAACAAACATAGCTTTGTTTTAAACATTAAGGCCAAAATATCAGGATTTGATCCAACCTGGGATTTATAAACTTAAAAGTTCTCAGTATAAGTCTATAACTAATGAGTGGTGTGAGCATTTTGATAGTAAGAGATACTGACATATTCATTATTATATGTTTACACAGTTGTGCCCCTATGATTTTTTTTATTATTGCTCTTAGTATAGGGGGTCTCATTTTTTTTGGGGGGGGTTCTGATCCTGGATCCCACTTATTGTTTAGTGAGAATCCAGTATCCCTCTTCTCGTTGCCAAAATAGTGCATGTAATTTCCTGTGTCCTGCCGGACTTCATTTCCTGTTTTTAATCTTAATTATTCGACCATCAAGTGTCGTGCTAAAAAAATCAGCCAATACGGGGTCACGCTTAGACCCTAATGAGACCCACTTAATTAGTATTCATAACCATATGATTAAACAGTTAGGCTGTGATCATTGTCTGATTATTGCCCTTGATAATCTTGATCATATGATTAAACAGTTCGGCCGTGATGATCGTCTGATTATTGCCCTTGATAATCAGTATCATATGATTAAACAGTTAGGCCATGATGATTGTTTGATTATTGCCCTTAGTATTTATAACCATATGAATAAACAGTTAGGCTGTGATGATCGTCTGATTATTTCCCTTGATAATCATGATCATATGATTAAACAGTTAGGCCGTGATGATTGTCTGAGTATTGCCCTTGATAATCATGATCATATGACTAAACAGTTAGGCCGTGATGATCGTCTGATTATTGCCCTCGATAATCATGATTAAACAGTTAGGCCATGATGATTGTTTGATTATTGCCATCAAAATTCATGATTATCTGATTACACAGTTTGACCGTGATGATCATTTGATTATCTCCCTAACTTTTCATGATTATCTGATTACATATTTTTGATTATTGCCCTTAATATTCATAATTATCTAGTGTAAGGTTTGATTGTTGCCCTTGATATTCATGATAGATTAGATAATGTTATATCACACTTTGATCATGTTAATCATTTGATTATTCCCCTTATTGTACATGAACCCGGATTTTGAAAAAGGGGTAGAGGCCCTATGGTAAACCAACATTTAGAGCAATACGTTTATAAAGTCTATACATTTATCATATATGAAGCTCCCTGCTCCCTCTAAATCTGCCTTTGATGATAATATGATTACAGGGTTTAATCATCACTTCAAATTGATTGGTTAATTATTGTCTTTTATAACCTTGTTTAATCATGCCAATAGTTTTGATTTCTGCCCTAAAAATTCATGATCATGTTATTAAATAGGTTGATCATTAAATAGTTAAATAGTTTGATCACTGCAATGTAATTGCAATACTTATATCAAGCCTGTACCTAAGAACCATATCAACAAAACAATACATACATGTCATATAGACTGTACCTACGAACCATATAGACAAAACTTATAACCTGAACCTAAGAAACATATAGACAAAACTTATAACATAAACCTAAGAATCATAAACAATACATATACCTTCAATATAAGAACCATAGAAAAATATATAAAGCCTATATCTAAGAACCGTAGAAAATACATATATACTGTAGACTATACTTAAACACCATAGACAACATAATAAGCTTATATCTAAGAATTATAGACAATATATACAGCCTATTTCTAACAACAATATACTATACATATAGACGGAAACTAAGAACCATAGACAAAACATATCATGCATATATCCTTTATCGAAGAACAATAGATAATACATATAAACTAAACCTAAGAACCATAGACTATACATATATACTCTACCTAAGAACCACAGACAATACATATAGACTGTACCTAAGAACCATAGACAATACATAATACATATAGACTGAACCTAAGAACCATAGACAATACATTATACATATAGACTGAACCTAAGAACCATAGACAATACATTATACATATAGACTGTATTAATTCTGTAGGTGGAACCTAAGAACCATAGACAATACATATAGACTCTACCTAAGAACCACAGACAATACATATAGACTGAACCTAAGAACTATAGACAACACATAATATATGTATATAGACTGTACCTAATAACCATAGACAATACATATAGACTGTACCTAAAAACCATAGACAATACATATAGACTGTACCTTAGAAACATAGATAATACATATAACCTATATCTAAGAACACTAGACTGTACATGCAGACTGAACCTAAGAACCATAGACAATACATATAAACTCTATACATAAGAACCATAGACAATACATATTGCCTATATCTAAGAACCATAGACAATACATATAGCCTATACCTAAGAACCATAGACAATACACGTAGACTAAACCTAAGAACCATAGACAATACAAAAAGACTGTACAGTCTGTACCTAAGAACCATAAACAATACATATAGACCATATCTAAGAAGCATAGACTATACATACAGACTGAACCTAAGAACCATAAACAATACATATAGACTGTACCTAAGAACCATAGACAATACATATAGCCTATAACTACGAACCATAGACAATATATATATAGACTGTACCTAAGAACCATAGACAATACATATGGCTTATATCTAAGAACCATAGACAATACATATAGTTCCGTGTTGAAGGCATTACTTTGACCTATAATGGTTTACTTTTATAAATTGTTACTTGGATGGAGAGTTGTCTCATTGGAATTCATCTTCCTATATCTATATACCTAAGAACAATAGACAATACAAATAGACTGTACCTAAACATCAACAAAACATATAGACTGAACCTAAGAACCATGGACAATGCATATAGACTATACCTAAGAACCATAGACAATACATATAGCCTATATCTAAGAACTATAGACAATGCATACAGACTGTACCTAAGCACCATAGACAATACATATAAATTGAACATAAGAACCATAGACAATGCATATAGACTGAACCTAAGAACCATAGACAATACATATAGACCAACCATAAGAACCATAGCCAATGCATATAGACTGAACCTAAAAACCATAGACAATGCATATAGACTGAACCTAAGAACCATAGACAATGCATATAGACCGAACGTAAGAACCATAGACAATGCATATGGACCATATCTGAGAACCTTAGACAATGCACATAGACTCTACCTAAGAACCATAGACAATACATATAGCCTATAACTTGGAACCATAGACAATGTATATAGCCTATAACTTAGAACCATAAACAATACATATAGACTATACCTTAAAACCATAGACAATACACATAGCCTATATCTAAGAACCATAGACAATGCATATATACTGAACCTAAGAACCATAGACAATGCATATAGACCGAACGTAAGAACCATAAACAATGCATATAGACTGAACGTAAGAACCATAGACAATACATATAGACTGAACCTAAGAACCATAGACAATACATATAGCCTGTATCTTAGAACCATAGACAATATATAAATCCAAATGTAACAACCACAGACAATACATTTAGCTTATACATTACCTGTAGTAATTGTTATATTGAATTCAATTTTTTTTCTGTCTACAGAGTTCCAGGAGACTTGGTGCATTCATTCTTAGTTAACAAATCACATTGTAAAGGTTTTGGACACACACTGTAATGTCACACCAGATGTATTAGATACTGGTATGTATATAGACAATATCAATATTGTTTTATTTTTAGATTTGGTAAGTGCCCCATGCATTAATTTTGAACCCCATCATTTAAAATTAAAAATTCCCTTTTTCTCTATGAATTAATCCATAGGTTTTTGGACTGGAAACATAGGTATTAAAATAAAAGGATGTGGTATGATTGCCACCAGAGACTAATTGACATAAAGGCAAGGAACTTAAGGTCATTGTACAGCCTTCAACAATGAGCAAACCCATTAAAGAACAAATAAAAATGTTCAGCTGATAAATGGCCTAACTCATCAGATCAATACACATATGACAATTAAACCACAAAAACAACTGGAGCCAATTTATCAGCAAAAAAGATTTTTCTGTTCATGTTTGTTGTGACAAATGAAATATTTAGCTTGAAAATTAAGTCTGCAAGTCCCTGCTATTTATGTTTCCTAGGATTATAATATTGGTTGAAATCCTGACCATTTGTCCACTTTTTCAACAACCTCCGTTTTACATAATTGAAGTGTCTTGGGCAATTTTCTTATGAAAAGATAAACAAAAGTGTCCTGTTTTAATACTTTCTTACACATGTAATCATCAATTTGAAACACTTTCAGCTTGTTGCAATGGTCAGAAAAGACATTTCTTAATCTACTCTTTTATATATTTCTAACACAAGAAAACATATACATTATAAAATATGTGGCAAGGAAACCCTTGGTTATTTACACAAGAATGTTATTCTATGTAAGAGTGTAATATTATCTTCTTGCAAACCTATTGGGACTTTTACATTGAGTCATCTTCTTTTGGTCAAGGTATTTAAACATTTATCTGTTCTATTACCAATTGAATAATTACAATAGTTATAAGTCTCTTTATAGTTTATTCACTTGGACCTTTAAATATCTTCTAAGAGAAATCTATCACTCAATGATTAATTTACATGAATAACAAAGATGAAAAGACATGTATCAACTCACAAAACCTCTTGCTTGCCAATTCTATGAATTCTGCAAGATCATGCATGAAAAAAAAAGATATTTTCGTCAGAAACTATTTGACAGAATGTGGTCAACTGCTATACAGTAATGAGTTGTAGAGAGTTTGCTCTTTTCAGGTCTTTCATGCACCAAATTCTATACTCTCTTCTCAAAATGCAATGTGTTCTGTCTGACTTCTTTGAAAATTTATAGTTTAAGTTCTAAAAGAAATAATGAGAGCTTACACATTCTAACATAAGAATTTTATATTTCAGGTTGTTCAACATCTTCTATGTCAAAGTTCACATAAAACCTCAAGGAGTTAGCACACAGATGGTTGAGCAGAATAACTGAACAAAACAACAAAAAAAGATTTTAACATTCTGTAATACATGAACTATTGAAATTTTTCATAGGCACTGCACATAAATGTATATGAAAAAATATAAACTTTTGATGTCTTTAATTATAGGAACTATATACAAGTTGTTTAGTATATAATAATGACATGAAAAAAATACCTATTTTAAAAATATTTTTGTAATATTTAAATTATCCATGAAAATAATTGAGTATAACAATTAAATCAATACCATCGATTGTTTGTAAATATTTATGCTTATATTTCAATAATGAGTAAAAATCATTATCATTAATTGAAACAACTTGCTCAGAAATGCTTACCAATAACTAGAACCAAGGTGTGAAGGACATATTATCCATTACATTTTGTAAATTATCAGAATATATGTGACATTAGCAAAAGGACTATTTTAGTTTTTGATTATATAAGCTTAATACTTAATGAGGCCATCACTTGTTATATTAAAAACATATTTTGACGTAAAGGCATATTTACAAACACATTAGTTTTAGATAATACAGGTAATAACAGAAACAAAGGTATTAAACACATTTGTGTTACAATTCTGTTGTTTACAGAGTATACACATATTAATAAACAACTAATAAATATAGATTCTACCACTGCATCGAGTGTGATACGATATTAATCCACTCGAGACAGTTAAATTTTCAAATTTAAAATCAGAGGCTCGCCGAGCGTTTTAAATATTTAAAAATTAACTGTCGAGAGTGGATAAATATCGTTTTACACGAGATTTGGTGGTGGAATCTGTTTCTCTAATGATTTTCTAACAATATGCAGGCAAACTTATTCCTTCTTTTCGAATGATCTGCAAAAAGATGTGTTCTTTCTATCTGACGTCATCAGGCATGGTCGCCTTTTTTCATGCCGTCACAATAGGAAATTCAGAGGAAAGCAAGAAAATTCGACGTCATAATCGTATTTTAACCAATGAAGAACTGAGATCAAACGAACCACACGTTGATTAATTTTTTTTATACAATGGGTGCAGAAAGGGATAAATTGACGAAGAATTAGAGAAAATAATATAAACCTGAAATATTTGTTAGCTGTGGTTATTATATACAGTCTATATATATTGTCTGTGGTTCTTCAAGAAAGTTTATATAAATTGTCTGCAGTTTGTTCGATACAGACTATATAAATTGTCTGTATATGAATAAGGAGATATGGTATGTTTGCCAATGAGACAACTATCCACCAAAGTTCAAATGATGTTAGCAGTTATTGACAACCGTACAGAATTCTACAATGAGAAAAATAACCCATACCATATAGTCAGCATTAAAAGGCATCGATGTGAAAAAAAAATGAAACAATTCAATTGAGAAAACTAATGTCTTAACTTATAGCAAATCAATTTACAAATATGACAGACATGAACCAACAACAACCACTGAACTTCAGTGTCCTTACTTGGGAAAGGCACACCAATAGTGCAGTTATAAGATACTATCTGCATTTATTGTCTGTTGTTTTTAGATACAGTGTGTATATGTTGTCTGTGGTTCCTAGATACAGTGTGAATATGTTGTCTGTGGTTCTTAGATACAGTGTGAATATGGTGTCTGTGGTTCTTAGATACAGTCTGTGTATATTGTCTGTGGTTGCTAGATAGTGTGTATATGTTGTTTGTGGTTGCTAGATACAGTGGGTATATGTTGTCTGTGGTTGCTAGATACAGTGTGTATATGTTGTTTGTGGTTGCTAGATACAGTGGGTATATGTTGTCTCTGGTTGCTAGATACAGTGTGTATATGTTGTTTGTGGTTGCTAGATACAGTGTGTATATGTTTGTCTGTGGTTGCTAGATACAGTGTGAATATGGTGTCTGTGGTTCTTAGATACAGTCTGTGTATATTGTCTGTGGTTGCTAGATAGTGTGTATATGTTGGTTGTGGTTGCTAGATACAGTGGGTATATGTTGTCTGTGGTTGCTAGATACAGTGTGTATATGTTGTTTGTGGTTGCTAGATACAGTGTGTATATGTTGTCTGTGGTTGCTAGATAGTGTGTATATGTTGTTTGTGGTTGCTAGATACAGTGTGTATATGTTTGTCTGTGGTTGCTAGATACAGTGTGTATATGTTGTCTGTGGTTGCTAGATACAGTGTGTATATGTTGTCTGTGGTTGCTAGATATAGTGTGTATATGTTGTATATGGTTGCTAGATAAGGGTGTACTGTGGATTCATTTATTTTCGTGGGTACCAATTTTCGTGGATTGAGGAAAACTTGCATATTCGTGGATATTTAAATTCGTGGTTTTGGCAAAGTCTGCATACATTCCTAAAGAAAATTTGTAATTCGTTGAACATTTAAATTCGTGGTTCCCCTGTACCCACGAAATCCACGAAAATTAGTATCCAACGAATATTAATGAATCCACAGTATATGTTGTCTGTGGTTATCAGATACAGTCTATATATGTTGTCTGCGGTCCTTAATTACAGTCAGTGTATATTGTCTGTGATTGCTAGATACAGTATGTATATGTTGTTTGTGGTTGTCAAATGCAGTCTGTTTAAATTGTCTGTGGTTGTTAGATGCATTCTGTGTATATTGTCTGTGGTTCTTTGATAGTCTTTGGATATTGTCTGTGGTTGCTAGATACAGTGTGTATATGTTGTCTGTGTTTGTTAGACACAGTCAGTATAGGCTGTTTGTGGGTTTTAGATACAGTCTGTGTATATTGTCTGTGGTTGTTAGATGCATTCTGTGTATATTGACTGCGATTGCTAGATACAGTGTGTATATATTGTCTGTGCTTGTTAGACAAAGCCAGTATATGCTGTCTGTAGGTTTTAGATACAGTCTGTATATGTTGTCTATGGTTGATAGGTAAATCTAGAATAGAGGTTATATAGAAACAGGGAATGTGTCAAAAAGACAACCGATGTGTCTTTAACGAATAGAGAAAATCCAACATCTGGTGGCGGGCTTCAGTTTGCTCCTAAAATAATGTATACTAGTTCAGTTAAAAAAAAAGGAATATATATATATAAAGAAGATGATGTATGATTGCCAATGAGACAACTCTCCACAAGAGACCAAATGACACAGAAATTAATAGCTATAGGTCATCGTACGGCCTTCAACAATCAACAAAGCCTGAAACTGCATTGTCAGCTATAAAAGGCCCCGAAATCACTAATGTAATACAATTCAAAAAACAAAAAAATAACGGCATAATGTACAAAAAAAATGAAAGAAAAACAAATATGTAACACAACAAAAAACGACAACCACTGAATTACAGGCACCCGACTTGGGACCAGCAGTGAGCACATAGATACATAATGTGGCGGGGGTTGAACATGTTAGCGGGAATCCAACCCTCTCCTAACCTGGAACTGTGGTGTAACAGTACAACATAAGACCGAACTAAAAAAATCAGTTGAAAAAGGCTTAACTCATCAGATGATACACATAGAAATAAATATAACAAAACAACGTGGACGTGACCGGGTATTGTACATCCCAACAACATAAAGACACTAAGTACAGATCTGAGAGTACTCGATCGAAGTTACCGGCAGCTAGTTCCAAGCCAATATCAACTTATATATAAAAAAAATCATTCATCCAAGACTAAATTATTAATCAGTACACATCCACCATCCAATGGATTTAGTGTAAAGACATCATAAACAGTCAGAGAAAAACATGACCTTGTGCAATGCCAAGATACGAGAGTCGATAGATTGTAGATCAATGAAAGTGTGTATATATATAACAATAATATCATTGAGTTTGCTTTTAACTTAATGATAACAAAATCAATATTAACTCAAAAAAAAACAATCATTCAAAGATTTACATGGTAATTATATAATATGAAAAAAGTGTGTACCGTTTTGTATGATGTAATTGGACCTTATGATACAAAGTATACGGTCATTTGATAATTCTGTAAGTGTTGTATGATGTACTAGTAATTGGACCTTATGGTATAAGATAAATGGTTATTTGGTACAGTCTATAAAGACTTTGTAAAGAATCACTCTGATTCAAACAAAAAATTCTCTGAAACTGACATTATCAAGATGCTTGATTTCTTGATTGACAACATATTTGTTACGTTTGGAGGACGTACGTGTTTTTCAACAGACTGTCGGAATTCCAATGGGAACCAATTGTGCCCCTCTTCTTGCCGACTTGTCTCTTTATTATTATTATGAGGCTGACTTCATATAGGAACTTCTTAGGAAGATAGATAAGAAGTTAGCAATATCCTTTAACTCTACATTCCGCTATATAGATGATGTTCCCTCACTAAATAATACAAAGTTTGGTGACTATGTTGAATGAATCTATCCCATCGAACTATAGATAAAGGATACTACAGATACAGTTAAGTTTGCCTCATATCTTGACTTACATCTAGAAATTGACAATGAGGGTCGGTTGAAAACAAAACTTTACGACAAAAGAGATGATTTCAGCTTCCCAATTGTGAACTTTCCATTTCTATGTAGCAACATTCCAGCAGCGCCTGCATACGGAGTATATATCTCCCAATTGATGCGATATTCCCGGGCTTGTGTTTCCTATCATGATTTCCTTGATAGAGGATTGCTGCTCACAAGGAAGCTATTAAACCAAGAGTTCCAAATGGTGAAGTTGAAGTCATCCCTTCGTAAATTTCACGGACGCCATCACGAGTTGGTTGACCGTTGAGGAATAACCGTTTCACAGATGATATCGGATATGTTCCTTATGTCGTAACTATAATACCCTCCCTTTTCACGAATGTGACTTACCGAATTAGACTATATACCGGATTTCTAATAACATAAGCGACACGACGGGTGCCACATGTGGAGCAGGATCGGCTTACCCTTCCGGAGCACCTGAGATCACCCCCAGTTTTTGGTGGGGTTCGTGTTGCTAAGTCTTTTGTTTTCTATGTTTTGTCATCTGTACTATTATTTGTCTGTTTGTCTTTTTATTTTTGGCCATGGCGTTGTCAGTTTGTTTTCGATCTTTGAGTTTGACTGTCCCTCTGGTATCTTTCGTCCCTCTTCTATAAGTGTTGCATGTGGTTATTTGACCTAATTGTATAAGGTATGTTGTTTTTTAGTACAGTCTATAAGTTTTGAGACAATTCGACCTTGAGGTATGAAGTATATGGCTATTTGATTCATTCTATGATTGTTGTCTGAGGTATTTGGATCTTCTGGTATAAGACATGTAGCTATTTAAAACAGTATAAATTGAGTGTTGTAAGAGATTATTCGAATTAAAAGGGTACGTCAAGAGAAGTTTTGAATCTTGATAGTAATTGAAACAAGCATAATTTGTTGAATAAAATTATAATGTGTTACAGTACATACAATTATTATTGAAGATTTTAATGGATTCTGCTTCGTTTCATGAAAAATAAATGGCCAACGTAGCTTCAAAAGTCTTTGTTAAGGGTTGAATAAATCGTACTTTGTAAACAAACAAAAAACTCTGATACAGTTTATATCACGTTCGGAGGGCGTTTTTTTTTCCACAAACTATCGACCGAATCCCATGGAAAGCAACTGGGCCCTTCTTCCTGCCGAATTGTTCCGTTATTCACATGAGACAGACTCCATACGGAGCTTCTACGGAAGAATGAAAAGAAGCTAGCATTAATTTGTTCACATTTTGCTATCAAGATGAGGTCATCTCACTGAATAATTCAAAGTTTGGTGACTATGTTGAACAAATCTATCCCATCGAACGTGAAATTAAGGATACACAATATACAGATAAATCTGCCTCATATCATGACTTATATCTTAAATTGACAATGAGTATCGGCTGAGATCAAAACTTTACGACAATATAGAGATGATTCAGCTTCCCGCTGTACATTTTCCGTTTCTATGTAATGACATCCCAGCAGCAGCTGCATATAGATTATTTATCTCACAGTTGATATGATATTCAAAAGTTTGCATTCCCTATCATGATCTCCTTAATAGGGAATTGCTGCTTAAAAGGAAGATATTGATCTATGAGTTCCAAGTGGTAGAGTAATCTATAGACAACATGTATCTAGGAATCACACCATCTACAGACATCTTGTATCGGGGAACCATACCATCTATAGACAACTTATACCGAGGAAACAACACCATAAATGACAACTTGTATAAATTTAAGAACCACACATTCTATAGATAACATATATCTAGGAACCATACCATCTGTACACAACTTGTATCAAGGAACCACACCATATATGGACAACATGTACTAAGGAACCACACCATCTATAGACAACTTGTATCTAGGAACCCCAACATCTATAAAAAAAATTTTATCGAGGAACAAAACCATATAAAGATAACCTGTATCTAGGAACCACACCATATATAGATAACTTATATCTAGTAACCACACCGTCTGTAGACACCTGTTATCTAGGAACCAAGCAATATATAGATAAATAAAGGCATCAGTAGTCCACCGCTGTTCGAAAGTCATAAATCTATTGAGAGAAAACAAATCCGGGGTACAAATTAAAACCGAGGGAAACACATCAACTATATGAGGAAAACAACGAAACAACAGAAACACTAAAGTGCAACAAAAAACCAAACGACAATGCAACACACACAGAAACGAACTATAAGATAACAACTGCCATATTCCTGACTTGGTACAGGACATTTTAAGAAAAAATGGTGGGTTGAACCTGGTTTTGTGGCTAGCCAAACCTCGTGCTTTTATGGCAATGTTAAATATAACACTAAAAGGACAACATTACATGACAGGACTACAGTACAAATAAATGCAAGAACTTTCAGGACAAAGAAATACACAAATAAACAATACAATAATACATGCTAATAGATAGCAAAGGTACCAGGCTTATAATTTAATACGCCAGACGCGCGTTTCATCTCCATAAGACTAAGTTATTTTTTTGGAACCATACCATCTAAAGACAACTTGTATCCGTATCCAGAAACAATACCTTCAATAAATACCTTATTTCTAGAAACCATACCATTTATTTAAAACTTGTATCTTGGAACCACACCATCTATAGACAATTTGTATCTAAGAAACACGCCATCTTAACACACCATCTTAAGATAAACTTAGGAATAGATTACCTTAGCTGTATTTGGCAAAAAATTTAGGAATTTTAGTCCTCAATGCTCTTAAACTTCGTACTTTTTTGGGCCTTTTTAACTTTGTTGGATTCGAGCATCACTGACGAGTCTTTTGTAGACGAAACGCGCGTCTGGCGTAAATAAAAAATGTAGTCCTGGTATCTATGATGAGTTTATTTATATCTAGGAACCATACTACGTATTTAAAACTTGTATCCAGCAACCATTACATCTACAGAAAACTTGTATCTAAGAACCAAACCACATATAAACAACTTATATCTAGGAGCCACGCCTTATATAAATAACTTATATCTAGGAACCATACCTTCTATAAATAACTTATTTCTATGAATCATGCCATTTATTTAAAACTTGTATCTAGGAACCACACCATCTATAGACAACTTAGATCGAGGAACCACACCTTATATAGACAACATGTTTCTAGGAACCACACAACATATAGTCAGCTTGTATCTAGGAACCACACCATCTATAGACAACTCATATTGAGGAACCACACCGTATATAGACAACATGTACGCAGGAACCATACGAAATATATTAAACTAGAATCTAGGAACCATGTTATGTATAGACAAGAGAGGCAAAAGATACCAAAGAGACATTCAAACTCATAACCGTTGGTTTTCCCGTTTGAATGGTTTTACACTAGTCATTGTTGGGGCCCTTTAGAGCTTGGTGTTTGGTGTGAGCCAAGGCTCTGTGTTGAAGACCGTACTTTGACCTATAATGGTTTACTTTTATAAATTGTAACTTGGATGGAGAGTTGTTTCATTGGCACTCATACCGCATCTTCTTATATCTATCATAAGCCGAAAATAAACTGACAACACTATGGCTAAAAAAGGGAAAAAAAGACCAACAAACAAAATTATACAAAACACAAAATAGAAAACTAAAGACTGAGCAACATGAAACCCACCAAAAACGTTAACTGTATTGAAGAACCTTACAAGGCTTTTTTACATAACCAGTACTTAAGACACATACCAATTTGAATCCTTTTGTTTTAAGAACCATGAACTACCTGTTAAAACAACCTGTATCGAAGAACTCCACATTATAAAAACTACTTCATATGAGAGCCATATATATATATATATATATATATATATATAAACCATGTAAAAAGAACCTGTAGATTTGAACCTTAGATATACTAGTATATATGATTAATATACGCCTTTACTCTGTATTTTTATTTGAAAATTCAACCAGTTATTCCTTCCAACATTACACAACAGTATTAATATAAGCTATGGTTATGAAGAGACACTGTTCACATCTAGAATTTTGTCACTTGGTTGCATTTGGTAGTGTATACGATATTTTCACACAGTTTTATGGTCAAACGAAGATAGTTGGTCACAGGTTGTATGTATAACTTTACAGTCCTCAATGTATTCTCGCCTTAATTACTCTTAATGTTATGTATGTTTGTATATTTCAACAGTTTTTTGTTAGTGAATTTCAATAATATTTTGCGGAATCAAAGTGTTGTTTTGGCTCTGCAGCATACTTGGGCATATCATGGTCAACTGTTTTTCCCAGTATTAGCCAGTACAAGTAAATGCTCATAAATTGGGATTGTGCTTTCATTGTTGGAAGAAGGCTGCATTTGTAATAATTAGATGACTGAGTAAACAATATTTTGGGCTTTCCAATTATATTTTACAACATTTAAAATACAATAAAATCAAATCAAACATGAATAAAGAGTCTATAACCTAATACAGGTTGGTTGGTCATGCAATCTAAACAATGCCATATACAAAGATATAATAAAAAGACAAATAAAAGATTCACAAATATTTATTTTCTAAATTTATCCCCTGGTTGTATTTCAGCATTTCCTGTCACATGAAAAATCAATTTTGTATCAATTACATAAATATCTAAGAAATTTGTGCTGTTCAAAATCAATTGAGATATGGATTATTAAGATGTTCTAATTACAACAAACTTTTTAGCTTAAATACATCACTGAAAATGTATGCATATAAAAACAAGAATGTGTCCATAGTACATGGATGCCTCACTTGCACTATCATTTTCTATGTGGACCGTGAAATTGGGGTCAAAACTCTAATTTGGCATTAAAATTAGGAAGATTATATCATAGGGAACATGTGTACTAAGTAACAAGTTGATTGGACTTCAACTTCATCAAAATCTACCTTGACTAAAAACTTTAACCTGAAGCGGGACAGACGGACAAACGAACAGACTAGAAAATGTAATGCACCTCTACTAATGTAGGTGGGGCATAAAAAAAAATATTTCTTTTTTACATAAATTGTCGCTTTCATTTTCTATTATACTACATGTCCCTCATGTGTTGTTGTATTGACACATTAAAAGTGTGACCACCTGCCACACGCTGAACACCTTATTCTCCATGACAATTGTACCAGCTAATGGCATCCCATTATGTCATACATTTCTCTTGTCAGCCATTGGCAGTCTTTTAGCAACTTGCATTGTTCTGTTCTAAACACCCTGAAGAATAGCCTGAGGATGTTTAAACCTGGATGTGCTGGGCTGATGTATTTTAAGCCCTACACATTCTGTAAAAAAATAAGAACACATATAAAATCTAGGAGAAAAAAATGTATAGTTACACATAAAAAGTTGTCATCGATCTTCTTTCAGTACAAAGGTAGCTAAATTAAATAATGTGTCCTTTGAAACACAATTAACTAAAATTAAAAACACTTATCTCAAAAAGCTATTATAGTGCATACTGGTACATGACCAGACATAAATACATGTAAAGTTATCCATTCTTTTAGTACTAATTCTAAAAGGTAATCAACTTAACAATTTTTATCTGTTCTTTAATTGATTTTGTTATATATAAATTAAAACATAACTAAATATGTATTTTTATACAGTTGTGAACACTTCAGGAACTACATATTGTTTGATACTTAAGTTTTGGAATTGTAGTGTCATGGTTTTCTTAGACTGGTAATTGCATCTTCATATTAAATCCACTGGAGGTAAACTGATTGATATTTCAGTCTTGAAAACCTGTTTTTTAATTTTTTTTTAATTGGTTTTGAATAATGGGGCTTTGTATTGATTTGATGAGTCAAGCCTTTTTCAACTGGTTTTACAGTTAGTTCTCAATTTGTGCTGTAACACCACTTTCTCTGGTTAATGGAAGGTTGAGCCCTCATTAACATGGTTAACCCGTACTCATTTGGTAAGTTATTGTCCTAAGACATTTTGTCATGTTACTAGCTTTCATAGCTTAATTTCTAGTATAGTTTTTGTTCATTGTTACAGGACCATATGATGACATTTACTTGCTTAGATATATGGTATCTGATGGATAGTTGCCTCAGCTAAAAAAATCTCATTATATGTTTTTTTTCTCGATATATTATGGTTTGTTTGTTTTTCAACATGTACTTTGGATCCTTAATGGTTTATGATCATTTAATGCCACAGCTGTATTTCCTAATCAATATAGTATACTCATGAATAGATATTGTACCATTTGTGTGCTTACTTCAAAACTCAATGGACTTGGTTTCTTTGTTCAATATAATTGACACCACGGTCTCACCATTTTCCAACATTTTATTCACCTGGAAGTAAAAAGAAATGTTCCAAAAAGACTTGGACAGAACAAGTGTTCAGAGTACCTAGAAAACATAGGTAAAAATCTATTTCTTCTCTGTGATTATTTTTGGTCAATGTAAACTTTTAAAAAGAACAATTTGATCAAAATTATCAGTTTAGATGTATAACAAATTTAACGAGAATGCCAAACATAAGATATTTTGACCTATATCAACTTTTGAGGATTGTGGCTTCATAATTATTTGTGGAATACACATTTTTGTCGATTTCTTGGGCATGGGTAAACCGCTATTACAAATTTAAATACATTGTATTTAATAAAGAAGCCATTCTGTACTAGCTTGAATGCAGCCTTTTGCAAAACCATGAATCCAAATATCCATTAAAGTATGATTTTTCTCAATCAACGAAAAACAAAATTGATCCAAATTATTGGATGTAGCTGCATATATAAATCTAAAGTATCAAAGGTAGAACTCCTAGTAGAAATTGTTGGGTTATTTAAATTTAACTAACCAGCTTCTTCGCCTTTTCCCAATCTTCCTTGTTGTTTTCTTGGTCCTATAAATAAATATAGTAAATTATTTATCAAACTAGAACAGCTATAAAATGTATTATGCACTACCATTTATTTTTATGAATCATTATTACCAAAAGAAATAAAGAAACTTAGGCCTGCACAAGTAAAGTGGGAAACAAGATGTATATGTTGTGCTGGCTGTATGTTCTTTACCCCCTCTAAATCATGTGTGATTTAACATTCCTCACATCTCAGGCTTGACTAAATTTAAATCTATTGATTTGGTTGATTTTGCAGCATTGACTTACTTCAGGGCAGACAATTTTTGTTGGTCGAGGGAGCCAGAATGCCAGAAGAAATTGGAATGCTATTATATTTATATAAAGTTTACCAATAATGCTTGTGGTACTAAGCCATTTTATAGTGTCCCCCAAAGAGTGAATGTCATGCTTGAGCAATAGATCTTACATTCAGGAATTTCAGGCTATATGTATTGTCTATGGTTCTCAGGTACAGGTTGTGTATTTTCTATAGTTCATAGGTACATGCAATTTGTATTGTCTCAGTTGTTTGTCTGTGGTTCTTGGGTAGAGTCTATATGTATTGTTTATGGTTCTTAGATATATTCTATATGTATTGTTTATGGTTCTTAGATATAGTCAATATGTATTGTCTTTGGTTCTTAAAGATATATTCTATATGTATTGTCTATGGTTCTTAGATATAGTCTATATGGATTGTGTATGCTTCTCAGATATATTCTATATGTATTGTCTATGGTTCTTAGATATATTCTATATGAAGTGTCTATGGTTCTTAGATTTAGTCTATATGTATTGTCTATGGTTTTTAGATATAGTCTTATATGTATTGTCTATGGTTCTTAGATATATAGTCTATATGTATTGTCTATGGTTCTTAGATATATTCTATATGGATTGTCTATGTTTCTTAGGTTCAGTCTATATTTATTGTCTTTGGTTCTTAAATATATTATACATGAATTGTCTATGGTTCTTGGATATAGGCTATATGTATTGTCTATGGTTCTTAGATATAGGTTATATGTATTGTCTATGGTTCTAAGATTTAGTCTATATGTATTGTCTATGGCTCTTAGATATGGTCTATATGTATTGTCTATGGTTCTTAGATATATTCTATATGTATTGTCTATGGTTCTTAGATATAGGCTATATGGATTGTCTATGGTTCTAAGATATATTCTATATGTATTGTCTATGGTTCTTAGATATAGGCTATATGGATTGTCTATGGTTCTTAGATATAGGCTATATGTATTGTATTTGGTTCTTAAGATATTGTCCATATGTATTGCCTATGGTTCTTAGGTTCAGTCTTTGTGTATTGTCTATGGTTCTTAGATATAGGCTATATGTATTGCCTATGATTCTTAGGTTAAGTCTATATGTATTGTCTATGGTTCTTAGGTACAGTCTATATGTATTGTCTATGGTTCTTATGTTCAGTCTATATGTATTGTCTATGGTTCTCAGATAAAGGCTTCGTGTATGGTCTATGGTTCTTAGGTTTAGTTTATATGAATTATCTATGGTTCTTAAAGAAAGGCTATATGTTTTGTCTATATGGTTCCTAGGTTCAGTCTATATGTATAGTATATAGTTGTTTGATAATAGCGTTATATATTGTCTTTAATTCTTAGATATCAGCTTGATATTTTGTCTATGGTCTTTAGGTACAGTCTATATGTATTTTCTATGGTTCTTAGATATAGGCTTAATGTATTTTCTTTGGTTCTTATGTTTAGTTTATATGTATCATATATGGTTCTTAGATATAGGGTACATGTATTGTTTATGGTTCTTAGATATATGCTTTATTAATTGTCTATATGGTTTTTAGGTTCAGGTTATAAGTTTTGTCTATATGGTTCTTAGGTACAGTCTATATGACATGTATGTATTGTTGATATGGTTCTTAGGTACAGGCTTTATATATATATATTGTAATTTCAGTGCAGTAATCAAACTACTAACATGATTAACATGATCAAAGTGTAACCACATAATCATAAACATTAGGGGAGTATTCAAACTAATAAAATGATCAACCGATATAATAACATGATCATGAATTTTTAGGGCAGAAATTGAAACTATCGGCATGATTAAACCAGGTTATAAAGGACAATAATCAAACAATCGATTCGAAATGATGATGATGATTAAACCCTGTAATCACATGATCATCAAAGGCGGACTTAGAGGGGGCAGGGAGCTTCATATATGATAAATGTATAGACTTTTAAACATATTGCTCCAAACGTTGGTTTTCCATAGGGCCTCACCCCCTTTTTCAAAATCCTGGAATCATGGATCATGAATTATAAGGGCAATAATCAAATGATTAACATGATCAAAGTGTGATATTACATTATCTAATCTATCATGAATATCAAGGGCAATAATCAAACCTCAAATTAGATAATTATGAATATTAAGGGCAATAATCAAAAATATGTAATCAGATAATCATGAATAGTAAAGGCAATAATCAATAGATTATCATGTTTAACTGTTCAATCATATGATTATGGTTATTAAGGGTAATAATCAAATGATCGTCATGTTCGAAACTGTGTAATCAGATGATCATGAATATAAGGGCAATATTCAAACGATCATCATGTTCAAACTGTGTAATCAGATGATCATGAATATTCAGGGCAATAATCAAATGATTATCATGTTCAAATTATGTAATTAAATAATCATGAATATTAAGGGCAATAATCTAACGATCATCATAGTCAAACTGCGTAATCAGATAATCATGAATATTAATGGTAATAATCAAACAATCATCATGGCCTAACTGTTCAATCATATGATCATGATTATCAGGGGCAAAAATCAATCAATCATCATGGCCTAACTGTTTAATCATATGATCATGATTATCAAGGGCAATAATCAGACGATCATCATGGCCTTTACTGTGTAATCATATGGTTATATATATTAAGGGCAATAATCAAACAGTCATCATGGCCTAAATGTTAAATCATATGATCATGATTATCAAGGGCAATAATCAGACGATCATCACGGCCTAACTGTGTAATCATATGATTATGAATATTAAGGGCAATAATCAAACAATCATCATGGCCTAACTGTTTAATCATATGATCATGATTATCAAGGGCAATAATCAGACAATCATCACGGCCCAACTGAGTAATCATATGATTATGAATATTAATGGAAATAATCAAACAATCATCATGGCCTAACTGTTTAATAATATGATCATGATTATCAAGGGCAATAATCAGACGATCATCACGGCCCAACTGAGTAATCATATGATTATGAATATTAATGGCAATAATCAAACAATCAACATGGCCTAACTGTTTAATAATATGATCATGATTATCAAGGGCAATATTCAGACGATCATCACGGCCTGACTGTGTAATCATATGATTATGAACATAAAGGTCAATATTTAAACAATCATCATGGTCAATCTGTGGAATAATATGATTATGATGATTATGAATATTAAGAGCAATAATCAAATGATCAACATGATTTGAATGTGTGATCAACTTATCATGAATAATAATTTCTTCTAACTATCAACATAATCACACCGTGTAATCATATAATCATGAATATCAGGGGAAAACTCTTACTATCAACATGGTCACACTAATCACTAGTTATAGTGATTAACTTATACAGGGAATTTTATAAATCCCAGGTTGGACCAGAGCCTGATATTTTGGCCTAAATGTTTAAAGCAAAGGTATGTTTATTATTTGGTCGTAAACAGGCAATTTTTGTTTTAGTGTTTACCCTTTTCTGCATCTTTAGGACTCACTTACCCGTCAGTTAACAGCAGTATAAATATAACGTGAAATCGAAACAGAAAGTACACTTCGGAAATTCTCTTTTTCGTAGAATAAATCCGAGTTACATTAAGAACCAATTGTATGATAGATAACAAAAATGAAAAATAAATAAGCCAATCAGAGCGTGGTCCATATCGTGGTTTTTAAATCCTAAAAACCACTACTATTATACCTCAACCAGTACCCCAACTAAATTTCTATGATTTAAAATATGCTTCCCATATTTATGTGCAATTTAGCCCATTTGAACTGTAATAATAATAACGAACTTTAATATTAGCTTGTTTCCCTTCAAAAGTTTATATTAAAGGTCTTACGAATGCAATATATCACAGAAATGTTTATAATTATATTCTGACATTCTAATAAAAAAGTGCTTTTCGAAATCATATCAGACATCAAAGAGATGACACTATATGTTGGACATATACAGTTTGTATTCCTGCTTTTATCAGCAAATACTTTTAATGCAATGGCAGCAACAAATGAGGATAAATACAACAGACTTAGCAAAGTGATAATTCCAGTTGAATTTGCCCTATCCAGTTTCAGTAAAAATTTAAGAAAAGTACTCAAAAGGGATACAAAAACCATGGTAACAAAAACCTTGGAATCAAGAGTACAAGTGATGGACGAAATAATGACGAAAAATTCTGAAAAATTCAAGGAGATACAAAACGTACTGAAAGTTGAACTGAACAGTTTATTTATCAAGGAATTTAGAAAATTTAAAAGAAATATATCAAAAAGATGCGTTCAACTCTTCACAAACTTCAGAATAATATCACTGTGATACTTTTGTCTAAATTGAAAACGTCAGAAAATGTTTCTGAATTTCTTGAGTTCAACAATGATGATACTACAAAACTGGTATGGCTTTACAAATATTTTAAAGGTAATTATTAAATTATTTACGCTCAATAGTTATTTTCATCTCAAATCACTGTCTTTTTCGTACACCGCCACGTTATTTCTCCACTCTTCTTTACACATTCAATAAATTATTGCATTTAAAGTACCATACACAACCGGTCCATACACATTACTAAATAACATATTACAGGTAAACAAAACGATATTTTATAAATATGCAAATAATTTGGTACAGATCAATTTTGTAGTCTGACGCAGTTTGTGTAAAAGAACCGAAGCCGTCATTTATTCAAAGTCAGTATGTTTGCGTTAAAATGCTTATGCGGTTGCATCTGATAACGGGAGAATGGGGATGGGTTTTTTAGCACAGTCATTCTTGAAAAATATACATGACAGAACAATAAACCTTACCAACCACCAACATCACACTCATCAGACAAAAATTATACATGACAGAAAAAATAAACCTTTCCAACCACCAACATCCAACTTATCCGACCAAAATTATACAAGACAGAACAATAAACCTTACCAACCACCAACATCTGAGTCATCCGAAAACAATTACATGACAGAACAATAAACCTTACCAACCACCAACATCCGACTCATCCGCAAAAAAATTACATGACAGAACAATAAACCTTACCAACCACCAACATCCGACTCATCCGCAAAAAAATTACATGACAGAACAATAAACCTTACCAACCACCAACATCAGACTCATCCGCAAAAAAATTACATGACAGAACAATAAACCTTACCAACCACCAACATCAGACTCATCCGCAAAAAAATTACATGACAGAACAATAAACCTTACCAACCACCAACATCAGACTCATCCGCAAAAAAATTACATGACAGAACAATAAACCTTACCAACCACCAACATCAGACTCATCCGCAAAAAAAATATATGACAGAACAATAAACCTTACCAACCACCAACATCAGACTCATCCGCAAAAAAATTACATTACAGAACAATAAACCTTACCAACCACCAACATCCGACTCATCCGCAAAAAAATTACATGACAGAACAATAAACCTTACCAACCACCAACATCTAAGTCATCCGAAAACAATTACATGGCAGAACAATAAACCTTACCAACCACCAACATCCGACTCATCCGCAAAAAAATTACGTAAAAGCAAAAACAAACAACAACGAACTACCGTACCACAAGATTTATCTTTTAAAAATAGAACAAATCAAACACACGTCGATCGTCGTGTGTATGAGTGGGTTGCAAATGTTGTTTTCTTTAAGTTATTCACCAAATTGAATCCGATTACCTGGAAATGTTGCAGACTGTACCTTATGTAACTTGCTGTTGATACAGATGTGTCTAAATCAGTATGATTTATGATAACTAAATGTGTCTTTTTTCTATTGTGTATTTTACAACCAACTACCACTTAAACAAATGGACATTCCAGAGACAAGAATGAATACTTCATATTTAGATCCCTTTCTCGAACAGATGGCGAATTAAACACTACATTAGCAGTTATGCAATACCTTTGACAAAACCAGTTTTCCATTTTTGAGTAATAATAACCTATTGTTTTAACGTATCTTGTTTTGTCAAGTCTTTATTTGTTCTTCACATTAACCATCATTGGTTGCTGTTTGTCTATTTGGGTAATTAAGCGTACGAATCTATATGTCAAAGCCCTATAAAGAAAAAAATGTCTGTTTCTATATTCAGATGGATTTGGTCATGGTAAAAGACGTAAGCCGACTAGCCATGTGGAAACTGATTCACAAATAACTGCTCCTCCTAAAGGTAAAAGTCCAACTCTATTGAAGTCTCAATTTTGTTTCATTGGACTAAAAAATTGAATAAAATATGGTGATGCTGGTTTTGCGTAACACTGATCGATAAAAAAGGCGATCGGCTAAAATCCTATTTGGTTTCAGAAATTATTTGTGGCAGCAATGATCACTTGGAGAATTTTTAACTTACGTTTAATAAAGTTTTCATATATAGCGAACAACGCCCAGAGAAGTGACCGTTTTGATCTCATATGTCATTCAATATTAAGACGTTTCAAAATAAAGTGTTACGTCAAGGGCGTATACCTTATCCTTGGATTGAATACACCTAATTTCTGTTTGCCATTACATGATACAACAGACGTTCCCGTCAAATTTTGACACCACAAGATTAATTGAATGACGTTTAAAAGTATCGCAAAACATTGGGGTAAGTGTCGCTAAATGCTGAATATTGCAAAAAGGTCTAAGAACATTGCCTTGTTTGAGAAGTGAAATATGATATTAATAGGTCTGTAAAATCCAGTGGCAAATATTACATGATATCAGAACGAAACGTGCTAATGTTACAAGAAGATGAACCATGTTTTATTACTTTCCAATTGGCAATTTCCCATTTCTCAGCAGTAACATACCATCTGCCGCATCGTATGGTGCTTACATATCTCAATTAATACGTTACGCTCGTGCATGTTCACACTATACGGACTTCATTAACAGAGGTGTGCTCCTGATACTAAAACTGTTCCAACAGAGAAGAGGAAGAACGTCTGAAATGGACACTACATACGTTTTACGGTCACCATCACGAATTGGTTGACCAATACAATGTGGCTTTGTCTTACCGCACGAGCGACATGTTTTCGCCGTTCTTATATCTTTAGATACTATCTAGTAGTCGTCTGATCTGTACCGATTTTGTTCAATTCCCGATTGTGACATTTTTACTGAGTGTGGATTCGCATGGCTTATATTGCGTGCATAGCAGGAGACGCTCACTCTGACAACGCACCCGGTCTCGCTCCTATTTACGTTCATGCAATTCCCTCAGTTTTTTTTTATCTTGATTTGTATCCTCAAGATGGATTTATGAGATTTGGACATCGGTAAACTACTGTTGCCTCGAACTTATACTAGACCTAAACGTCGTATTTAAGGGTGTGTAATTGTTCAAGGTTTTAGTCCGAAGGAAGACATGTCAACTTACTCGGAAATATTTTTTCTGACGCCGAGCCGACTAGTATTTGATCTCTTTCTTAAATGCTGAGTGCTTAACAGACACACAGCAAATATACAAATTTCGACGAAGACTTTGGTTTGACCCGGTCGGAGATCGAACCCTGGCACAATCTTCTGCACTCGAGGCGAGACCACGAAGTCTATTACAAAGCGAAAAAAGAATACCATATTAGAACTAAAATTAAACCTGTCTTAATAATAAGAATATTATATTGTTAAGAAATTTTGTACTAAAACACTTCCATTTTTCAATTAAATGTATTATGTATTATACTATGTTTTAACGTCTTTTTAATTGATTATACTACATTTTTTTATCTTTTACTTTCAGACCATAAAGGAAAGGAATTTATTACAATGTTTCCCTCACACGATGACACATCAAAATATGCCTTAACTGTGCAGCTGATTATCACAGCAGATTTTCCTTCAAAGGTGAAAATATATTCGGCCTATCCTGGGGTTAACCAAACAGTCGACATAACATCAGGTGTTGCTTACGTTAACCTACCTGAGCATATAACAATGATTCCTATTGGAAGAACGTCCACTTCTATTTTGATTCGTTCAGATCATCCAATTAGTGTAGTATGCTACAGTGACTTCGGAGAACATGATCCTTGTATATATCAGTATTATAAATGTTCATCCTATGCCTTTAATGTCTTACCTGTTAATAGTTTAGGGGAGTCATATTACCCATTGATGCTTGATTATCCTAGCATACATATTGCTATTGTTGCAACGGCTCCATACACAAAAGTTTGGATTGAACCTTTGAAAACTGACTTGAAAATCATGGGTACGACTATCAAAGCATTGACGAATGGAACATTTACGTTAGGATATTTGGAAGGTTTACATTTGGAAGCAAATGATGGTCGATTCCTCGCCAATGTTCAGGCAAATAATTCCATTTCATTAATATCGGGAAATAGTAAAAGTTCATATGATGAAGAATCTATGTATGCATGCATGTTACCGAACGATCATTGGGGACAGTATTTCGTAGTGCCAATAATGGCAAAAGTGAAATACGTTTCCCTGCGTATAACCACAAGATCTTTTAATACAACTGTGAATATTGACAATAATGAACATTTTTCAGAAACAATACTTATTCAACCTGGAAATGTTTTTTCAATACAGTTATCATCAAATGTACATACTGTAATTTCTTCGCAACCAGTACTAGTTACAATTTTCTGTAAGAGTGAAAACGGAATATTCATGACATCCTTGCCTGCAACCAGCCATTTTTCCCACAA